TGCGCGAGGAATGCTCTTCTCCAGGTTGATGAGGGCAGCGGCAAACACACCCTTGTACGGGGGCATGCGCGATGGGTATCGCTTGTACAAGCACTCATTGCAAAACCACTCGTCGGGGAGATGGTCCGAGGGTATCATGCCCACGCATTCAAAGTGGAATGACCGTGGGCATCCATCGCAGCAAACAACGTCGCCAGCGGCGCCGCAGGCAGAGCAATCTTCGTCGTTGTCCGACACCTGGAAAAGGGGGGTAGAGTTAGCCAAACGCGAGCCATACTAAATATACTCAATTCAGCCTGTGCAATACGATACGACACGCTGCGCTACGCGTTTCAACATGTCCCTGGCTCTCTGGCTACCGGCTCCTGGTTGCTGATTCAACTGCTGGGGACTGGCTCGGAAAAGCGGATCTTCGGGGGCCACCAGAAATTACCCCGTACAGTAGTGAGTGGTAGGCCATCTTGGCCTTGGCCCGGCAAGACAAGGCACAAGGTACAGTCGCAAAATTGGCCACCATCTGGTGAATTTCCCAGCAAAGTCCATGATGTTGACGGCCCAATATTGGTAGTTCGGTCCAGAGCGCGTGTCGCGAATTTGCACAAGATGAACGAATGAGCACAAACCAAGAAAAAAAACATACCTGATCTCTGGCTACGCCGTTGGTTGCTGGGGCTTCTCCTTGTGGTCGAGGGACACCAGCAGCTGTTCCTCCTCTCTTCTTGACAGGGCTAGAAATCATACATGGTTAGCATGATCCGTCCAAAGCAAAATGATGATGAAATGAAGGAGTCACGGCGTAATCATCCCAGGTAAGACCTGGGGCTGATGATAAGACAAGCCAAGACTCAAGACATGGCATGAATGGTCTCTCTCACGCGTCCATGAGTCTCATCCCAAGGTGCAAGCAGGGCGATATGCAGATGACAATCGTCGTAATTTTGATGATGAACGCGATGTAGCTGGTGATGAAGATGATGATTCGGATGTAACTTACGATGACTTGATACGAAGGCCAGTTCTCGGCTTCTTTGGGGGGCGTAGCGTGGGCGTTGCAGCCCGTGATCCTCCGACTGAGCTGTCCTCACGCTGGAAAGACCACGCAACAGGGGACACGGCAGAGTCAATCTCATCGTGAGGTCTCTTGCTCGCTGACCGCGTGGATCTCGTCGTTCCCGCAGAAGCAGAGCCTGCGGCGGCGATGGATTGACGCGTCTTCCTCGTCGATTTTGCGGGAGTTGTGAAGGGGTCCTCGTCTTCGTCCCCTCCTCGGATAGAACTCTCAGTCGCCGTGACACTGTTGGCAAACTTTTGCGCATCGCGTCTCCGATCCCAGAACGAGTCGTCGTTGTCATGGCCAGCATCATCAGCCGAGAATGGAGCTGGAGCCAGGGCAGATGATCCCTTGTTCTTTGCTGTCTTTGACTTGGTAGGCAGATTAGGGAAGATTTGGCCGGCAGAAACCCTTCCTGGCATACTGACGTCGGCACTCACGCTGATGGTCGCACTTGCGGGTGCATCAGTGGGTTTGAATTTGATGCTGTTGGTGATGTCTGTGGGAAGTGTGGGAGCTGGTGATGATGGCTGCTTAGTAGCAGCAGGCTTGTTGGTCTTGGTGGTGGTATTGGTCTTGGGCTTGGCCTTGCTACTGGCACCTACCTTGGAGGCGAGTGATTTGCGGCGGGTGGTGATTGGCCGAGATTTTGGCGCATCACTGGAGTCGGGCCCAGCTGGCCCAGGGCGACTGGTGCCAGTGCCTGTTCGACGGACAGGGCTTGGGCTGCCCATGATGGCCTCAGGCGACGAGAGGCTGAGGGCTGATGAGAGAGAAGAGTCACTGGATGCTGAGTCTCGTCTGTTTCGCTTGCGCGCGGGCGTTTGAGGTTGGTTACTTGAAGACATTTTCCGTGGTGTGTTGCGGGTCGAGTGAGGGTGGGCGTGAGTCTGAGTATGGGGATGGGTATTGCTATGATGAGAAGAAGAGTGAGCGCGAGAGTGAGATGTCTTTGCCCTCTTGGTAGCTCGAGCTGGAGGTCGGTGAGTGTTTTTCACTTGCTCTGCTTCCTCTGAGTTGAGAATATGCACCTCTGACTCGTCTTCTGTCTCGACCTCAACCACCTCAACCACCTCTTCCACCTGATTGTGATGCAGAAGTTTGCCGTACGGCGCGGCCTTGGGTTTGTGAGGAGTGAATCTGCTGTTGGTCGTTGGAGGGATGAAGTAGTAGCAGCCTTGGTTGTCCTTTTTGCCCTCTCGCTTCTTCTTCTGCATCTCTTTGGAAAACTCTTGCATCGTAGCCTCATCTGCCGTTTGCGTGAATACCTCCTCAATCATGGCAACGAACCGCGGGTCGCCTGATTTTTCGTCGTAGAGGGTCCGCAGAGCCCACGCGGTCGGATAACGATAGTGCTTTAGGGCCTCATCCACTGCAGCCTCGACGACCTTGTCCGTGAATTCTTTGTCTTCAGGTTCTACAGGTTCAGCTGCGTGAATCGTCGCCTCTGCTGTGATTGCCCCTGCTGCCTCCAGCTCCTCATCCTCCTCGACCTCTTCGAAAGGCTTTGCTATTTCCGCTGATTTTGCAGTCTTCTTCGGCTCCCTCTCTGACTCCATGCGCTCCTTTGCCTCCTTTGCTGTGGGCTTAGTCACGATGGAGCCTCTGCGACCGGCAGAGGAGCGTCGCGCCCGTCTTCCCAGAGATGTACGGCCTGATTGTCGTCTCTTTGGCCGACTCGGATCGTAATCTTCGTCGTTCTCGTCATCGGCAGCTGCTGCTGCGTCTTTGAGAACAATAGATACCCTCCGTGGCGGTGTAGGGGGTAGAGCCACAGGTGGAGGGGAAGAGTCTGCCGCTCTGGCCGTAATCGCAACATCCACCTCCGCATCCCCGTCCACGTCCACGTCAACATCCACCGCTGGGTCGCTGGAGCCCATCTGTGCAGCATTTTTGGCAGCACCTCCCCCTGACGGCCGCAATATAATCCTCTTTACTCCTGAATTGGTCTCGGGTCCCGTCTTCTTAGGTTTGGGCAAACTTCCAAGGGGAGCCATGTTCTCGACGACGCCATATCGAACCAACCCATCATCCTCGAAGCTCGCTTTGCTCTGCACGGTCGGCTCTAGCCAGCGCTGCATGAAAGCCCTTGAACCCTCGGTTGCCCCCTTAGACGCGTCGAGTACTCCATTCCATTTGGTATTCTGTGATTGCGCGGGACTAGAGTAACGAGCTCGTGTAGTGCGGGTATTTGACGAGATCATTGTGCCGGCCTTTGGCGTGCCAATCCTGGTGGTGGTGGTCTGTCCGAATTGCTTGTGTGTGCGCCTCTCTCTGCGTGTGCCAGTTGCCGCGGGACGGGCAGCGCACCTCTCTAGGCCAGCTAAAACGATGCTCAGTTAGCAGTGTTCCTGAAATATACTGCACAAAAAAGGGGGGTTGAATGTTTTCATACTTTTATCTTAGAAAGCAGCATGAATTACTGCAATACTATCGCGTCTTTCAAGGTCGTGAACGCGGGTTGATGATGTTGAAGAGAGAGTGGGTGGGTTGCAGGTTGAGACTCGGCTTTTGCTGTGCTATGGTCAACGCCTTGCCTGCCTCTTCGCCTCGACAGGTCGGTCCTAGAAAAAAAAAAGCAGACCCAGACCCAGTGTCAGTCAGTGCATGCATGCACCGGAGCTGACGGCGCGGGTCGGACAGACAAGGGACCAGGGGGGAAGAGACGACCCAGGGATAACGGGGGGGAAGAGTGTTCCTGACCTGTAAAGTCGCCTTTTTCCTATCTCTTTCCCTTTTCTTTCCTTTTGCCCTTTTGTTCAATGCCTAATATATAGGTGACAGTTTAAGTACTAACATTAAGTTAGGTTCTTTCGTGAACCTGGAAGGCACGGGATGGAAGTGGCTCTGCATCTAATGCTTCCTGTGTCTAGGTCCTCCACTAAGATACCTTACTTTTCAGTGGCTCCTGTAGCACTGAAGCTCTAAGCACCCTCCCTGGCTTTTCTCATTTACATGTGCTCACCTACCCGAGTTCGTCTCCTTTTCTGCTTTTCACTTCAATTTCTTTCTTTCTTTTTCTTTTGTTGTTCTCTAGTGCCAAGTTTTCATTCTTCGTTATTAGTCTCTCTAGTTCCACATAGAGCTCCTGGGTCTTACCATAGTAGCTTGAGCTTCTAATGAAGTTAAGAGAGCTCTCCTCCCTCGCACCCAGCAACCAACCACCCACACTCACTCCCCAGCCCATCCAATAGCTCAAGCTCAAGATGCTACTGAGTGCAGCTGGAGCCTGATACCTCATACACTCTCCATAATTTCATGTCGAACTCTTTATTTGTTTATTTGTTTATTTATTTATTTATTTATTTATTTATTTAACTTGTCTGTATGTGTAATACCACTCGAGAGTAGTGTAATGATCATGTCGTTTGTATGAATGGATACATAGGGGCTGACTTGGCTCACCTCCATATTTGCAACTGATGGCTTCAGTTGTGAAGCTAACAGTGCGACTGATACATGATGCCTTATGCCAAGAGTAATAGACATCAATCGGTATGGCACTGTTGGTACTGTGTTTCAACCACTATTCAACAGTGCCATCCCTTACCTGCAAGTCCCAGCACTCGAGGCAGCCACATCACCAACGACTTGATGACTGTCTGCCCTCTTCTCTCCGCACTTTGTTACCATGCATCGTCATAAATCATATGCTGTCAGGGGGTCTGCGCCATCAACGGGCATGACAAAAGGTGATTCACGCTCACTCAGCACTTTGGGAATCAGCCCCTGTGCAGAAACATACGCACTATCATGGGTTCTCCCTGATTTGCATCTTCAGTAATGTTGCCTCTCGCCAGCCATCTCTGTCAGTCTTGTCGCTATTGCGCCCAGCTTGCCTTGGTATACCTCAACGATTCAATCAGTTCGGTTGAACTCTCGCAAATACGCATCACAAAGACAGAGTTCCAGGGTTGATCAGTATCAGGTTGTGTTAGACTTATGTATATCTCTCTGGTCATGCCAGACCACCTGACCAACACGGTGGGTTTCACTTTTCGAGATTCCAATCATTCATATTGACCATCCAGCTGCCCGCTCCGTTTGATGGAAGTGTTTTCCTCCGCATAGCTCGTCCAACGGTAGATAAGCTGGTGAGCCTAAATGTTGGGTTTGCGTCCTGTTTGACTTGCTTCTTGTTTGCCCATCCTCGGATTCTTTCATCAATTGTTCAGCAACTCTCCAGCTTGTCCGTCTTCTCTTGTCGTTTTCTCTACTCTTCATCGTCCTCCTTCTTAGCGGTCTTCTTCTTAGGTTTGCTCTTCTTCTTGCCGGTGTTTCTGGCCAGGGGCTGCTCCAGGATCTTGAGGACCTCCTCATCCTCAATCTTCTTGTCGGACTCATACTTCTCGAGGTCCAGAGGAGGGGGCCCACCAAGCTTGGTGATGCCGTTCTTGGTAATGGCTGCATGTCGTGTCAGTATCAACTTTCGAACTGGTCAACTTCTCGGTGTGCGACTTACCAAGGGTTGTGAGATATCGAGCAACGGGGGAGTTGTCCTTGTCACCAACGAGCTCGTATTGGCGGAAGACGTTGCCTCGGACACACTCGACGACACCAGACTTGGCATCACGCTCGTCCTCAAGCTGACGCAAGCTGAAGGGAAAGATGCCAAACTTCTTCTGGACCTCGTTGAGGATCTTTCGCGAGGTGGGTCGCTTGAGACCGTAGGTCTGGTTGGTGCGGCGGTGGAGGGTAGCACGCTGATCAAGACCCTTCACCTTGCCCGATCCCAGACTGACACCGGTCTCGACACCCCATACCTCACCAATCTCAGGAACGCCCTCGCCCTTGGTACCCTCGGCAGGGGCAAGAACAATCTTCTTGCTACCCTCGATCTCGTTGTGGTCGAACAACCAAGAGGTGGTGCTCTCGACGAGGTTAACTTCATAGGCCTTGGTGACCCTTTCCAGGAGGCTGGTAATCTTGGCCTGGGTAGGGGCCTTCTGAGAGGCAGCCTTGGCCTTCTCCTCCTCGCTACCCTGGGTGAGGAGACCAGGGGGGATCATCAGTCGCAGGAGAAGCTCGTTGACATAGTAGTTGGCGAGAACCAGGTCAGCGGTGCGGCCGGTGATCTTCTCGCCGGCCTTGTCCTCTGGGGTAGCAATCACGGTGTCACAGACAATGGAACCGAAGCCGTCGATCTGAGCGCCTAGCTGGATCTTGATGGCCTCGCCATCCTTGATCTCGGTATTGGCTTCAGCCTCGTCGGAGGTGAGGGGAGTGTAGGGAGTGACGTAGGACGAGGGGGAGACGGTAGTGGGGTGGGAGAAACCTTTAAGCGGCATCAGCTTCAACTATGTCCAGAGACCGAGTGTTTTGTGTGTGACGAACCCTTGTTAATCTTCTTTCCTCGGTAAACCTTGGCAACCTCTTCTTCGATCAACTTGTCACCCTGCTGGCAGATTTCGACGATCTTGGCGCCAGGGACGACAAGCTTGGAGACCTCAGCAAGGACCTTCTCGGAGATCTGAGCGGCGGTCTTGTACTTGGTGAGGGTATCTGGGTTGGCCAGAGAATAGTCTGGGTGGTTATGTCAGCACAATAGAGCTCAATGCGATGAATTTGTGTGCCCATGTGAGGCCATCGTGGGGCACTGATGACGAGGGCATTCGCAGTAATGGGTTGTTGTTATGGCGGGGCAGTGAGGAGCAACGAGGGGCAGCAACAGTCGGGTGCCTCTGACAGGACAGCCCAGTGCACCCGACGGCAAAGGTAGAGCTACAGAGGAGCTCTGAGATGGAGGGGAAGGGACAGCTAATTGGGCACTGTAACGCTTTTTCCGGGGGAACTCACCGATTTCCTTGGTCTCGGACGACATGATGGGCAATATTTGTTGACTCGTTAGGTTTTAAAAAAAATAAAATAAAGGTGAAAGAAGAACTGCGAATGCAAATGCCGGGGAAGAGTGGATGAAAGCTTGAGCAGGTCAGGTCGGGTCAGTCGCACGCACACAAGAATCAGAATCCAATACGAATAGCGCCCAGTGTGGAATTGGGACTTGGAAGTGGGGTTTGAGCTGGGAGGGTTTTGACGACAGGGTTTGGTTTAGTTTATGTTTGGTGGAGGGGTTGAATCTCAGGGACGGTGATAGAGGAGGATATAGAGCCTGGATAGGCAGTATTTATTTATTACTATCCACCAAAGTTGGCATCAGGTATTTACCTGGTATTTTGTCATGGTTTATTGTGGTTCTTCCCAACGAGTCGTTGTAGGTCGAGCCTCTTGTTGGCCCAGCTCATGCCATTCCTCGGTGACTCGACTAGAGTAGAGTATAAGTGAACGAATATCCATGCAGTGTGGGCGTCTTTGTGTGCACAAGCAGCCGCCACATTCTTGCAGACACCGGAGGAATCTTTGATGATCGAAGTCATTAGTGGATCATTGTCTTGCCGGTATTCACTCGGTAAAGGATTCTCTATTATCAGGGCCTATACACTGTAGTTCTCCACTTGATTCCTTTCACACGTTATAACCACCTTTTTTTGCGACACAATTCATCTAACAGCAGTCTCGATAATGAGGGGCCATGCACACATGCTATAATCATGACTTCATCCAGCCCTATTTCTGTATTAGGCTGTCGGTCACTCCCGTCCGTCGTCAACCACTTTTGGCTACCCTAAAGTGTTTACGTGTTATTGCTCTTAAGAACAATTCTCATGCTTGGTTTACTGATAAGTGGCGATTTATCAGATGGGGCACCTACATGCCACAATTCAGATTCGACGCATATAGATATTTCACATGCAAGCTGTTCAATTTCAGCCGTTAGAAGTCAAGCATCAGCATTGCAACCTTGAGCTTAAAATATAATCAATAATCTTATGTGTCAAGGTACATCAACCAGTTAGGTGAATAAACATTTACAGCAGAGTTAAACCTTTATGATCTACTAAACATCGAACCCAATTAAACAACGAACATGTTATAGTTCAGAATCGTCATGGGATAAAACATCCAAGATTGCACATTCCTTGGAGACTCCAAACTGCCTACTCCGTAGTAACTCAAGGTATCTCGAGACATACAATACATATAAGAGATAAAGAAAAACCAAACCAACTACACATATATACTGAGAATAAAGAGTAAATACTACAGTAAAATACATAGAAAACTTCATCTCAACGACAAGTACCTACCAGGTAGTCGCCGACTTACAAGCCACACTTGGTATAGATACACGTGGCGCAGCTGAGTCTAGATACATCAAGTTGAACGGGAAATTATGCCGACATAATGTATAACTACATCCAGCCACAGGACGCTCTGACTGATCAAACTCTTGGTCGCAGCGTGGCAGAAATCCTCCCGTCCCAGCCTGCACCAACATTGGCAACTGAAGTTAGCAAATCCTCAAGCCTCGTTGCCTCACGCTTTTTACCTTTAGTCTTTCACCCAACAACGTCGATTCCACTGGCTAAGGACAACATCTAGACAAGACATCCAACTATCCGCCGTGTACTAAACACAAAAGTTGTAAACTCTCCCTTGTTCCCTTTCCAACGCGGCAGTTCCGCTGCGCCGCGACCCGCGACCGCGATCCGCGCCCCGTTGCCGTCTGAATATGGCCGCTCAGCCCTCCGCGTCAACGTCTTCGGCGCCGGCCACGGGCTCGGCTGCCACAGGCGCAGATAAGGATGTGTCCTCCTCAAACTCTTCCAGTAATATGCCTGTACGCACGAAGGAGTCCTTCGATAAACTCATGGTCGAGCGGTACATCACGCGCGATGCCATCGCCGCCGCAGCGCTCGGCGGTCAGCTCGATCAGACACGCAAAATAATGAGCGACACGCGCGACAAGATCCAGGAATACCGCCAGGTTCGCACCGAGTATCGTCAATGGTTCCCTCCGTCGAGACTCTACGGCGAGGGCTACAATGGCTTCGCCAATGGATACACAGAGAACCAAGGTCCCTCACGAATCATTTATCCCTCCCAGAAGCCCCGACCTGGCCAACGAACGACGCCACCTCTCAAGTACAAGCGCAAGGATATGCTGAAGCAGGCCGAGCAGCATGAGGAGCTGGTCCCGTTGCGTTTGGAAGTTGAATGGGATAAGATCAAGTTGCGTGATACCTTTACCTGGAATTTGCACGAGAGGCTTCTGCAGGTTGAATTATTCGCCGCGCAACTTGTTGAAGATATGGGTCTAAAACCCCCAGCGTCTCAACCGGTATACGAGCAGGTCGTGCATCAAATGCGGGAGCAGCTCAATGACTTTTACCCGTTGGTATATTCAGAAGATGATGCGCTTGACCCCGAGCTCCCCTATTCGGCATACAAAAACGACGAGATGCGAATCCTCGTCAAGCTGAATATCACGATTGGCCAGCATACCCTTGTTGACCAATTTGAATGGGAAATCAATAACCCGTCAAACTCGCCAGAGGACTTTGCTGCCAACATGGCTCGAGATCTGTCCTTATCTGGCGAATTTACAACGGCCATCGCACACTGTATTCGAGAGCAGACACAACTTTTTACGAGAAGTTTATATAGCGTTGGCCATCCGTTCGACGGTCGACCAGTTGAAGACCCTGATCTTGTCGGCGCATTCCTCCAGACACCTCTCCCCACTGTCTTCCGACCGCAACAGCAGGCCAAGGAATACGCACCATATCTCTACGAACTCAGTGAAGCCGATCTGGAGCGGAACGAGACGATATTCTCCCGTGAGCAACGTCGCCAGAAGCGATCGATCAACAGAAGAGGAGGCCCCCAGCTGCCCGATCTCAGAGAAAGGCAAAGAACCATTCGAACGTTGGTCGTCTCTTCTGTTTTGCCTGGGGCTGCAGCTACCATTGACGAGAGTAGACTTTACAAGAGGGCTGCCGGCCCAAGGGCGAAGCGCGTTGTACGTGATGGAGAGATCTCGGATTCAGATGATAGCGACGATTCAGCTCCTGATTCACCCGCCCCCTCACAAATCACGGGTGGTACTGCTCGAACACGAGGCATGCGCGGTGCTGCATCTGCAGCTCAGCAAAGAATGGCCAATCTCGGCAGGTCTGAAACCCCAGAATCAAGTGCGATCACACATCACCACGAGACTAGGACCTCCCGCCGGTTCAGAGAGGAAACAGAAGAGCCGTCGCAGTTGATCGTAACACTCAAGCTCTCCCGCGACAAGCTGAGGCGGTTGATGAACCGCGACTACTCAGACTTGAGGCCACCATCTCAGACACCAGTCTCCTTCCCACGAGCACCCAGCGCCTCTGCTCCCTCGAGATCCATGCCACCGCCACCTTCGACCCCATCCAGCGCTACTCCTCACGCCTCAGCAACTCCATCCTCGTCCCTCCCGCCAGGCCAACTTGGCCGATTACCGGCTCCTCCGACAGTCCCTGGACAGTCTTCTCACATGCCATCAGTAGGTCACCAAGCCTTTGAATATACGCACATCGACAGTGGTACTGACTGTAATGCTTCTCCAGCCCCCGCCCCCTGAATGGCTTGTCAATGCCCTCAAAGAATTAGAGAAGACGTATAACCGTGGCGATAGGTTTGAGGCCACGATGAAGTACTCCTACCTGCACCCCGTGACAGAGCTACCTATCCAAGGCCAGCCTCTGCCCGAAGGTGTGAAATATGCCTGGCTGCCGCGTATCCGCTGCCTTGATTGTACAACTAAGCTCTATACACCTGGCCCAGATATGACGGTCAAGAAGTTCGAGACCCATCTCGAGTTTTCAGGGCACAAGAATGCTGTTGCTAAGCGCGTGGCGAGGGAGGCCAATCCTTGAGTTCCCGATTCATCATGCAGGCGTTTCTTAAACCGCATGTGAAACAGAGATTTCGCCACTGCATGCATACCTTACTACTAGGCCCTTTTCTCTTAGGCCGTATCTTGCTAGATGTCAAAGGGGCGTTGGTTCTTTTCAATTTTGCTTTGCCTCGGATTGTATCACTTTCAAAGACAGAGATTTAGTGACTGGCTGATTTTGATCATTGTTTTGTACATAAAGCTTCGAGTTCTGTGAGCGCAGAAGGGAATGCCGGGGTTATGAGGAACCGACGAAACGAACAGCTGTCTCTTCCTCCCTCCAGGTTGGTCTATTATTCATTTTGGAGTCTACGGGAGAACTGGGCGCTGTACAGCTGGGCTAGGACACGGAGTGGAATGTCAATATTAGAGCATTTGCTTCTTACATGTTTTGCATACCTGACATGTACAGAATTGACCTTTTTAAGTACAGACGATATGAGTCTGAGCTCACTTATGACTTGTAAATCGAGATTAAAATGTCATAAAAACGAAATGCTATTGCTAGAATCCCGTATGAGAGGGTATACGACAAGACAATTACCCACAAACCAAAGACTCCCTTCCCAGTATGTTAACAAGTCAAACGGACTCCCAAATCTCATCAGCTTTGTCACCACTCTTGAACGTATATCAGAGAAAGAGGAAGATCAGACCCAATAATAACAGAACAGGCATCATTTCAAAATATTGGCATCCTGTAATCCCATCCATTGCACTCGACCCCTTGATTACTCGTCAGCATCAATATCCATGTCGTCCATGCCCTTGCCCCGTCGTGACCTCGTTGACCTTGTCGGTCGCTTTGCCTCGGTGAGAACACTGGCCTTGATAGCTGGTTTAGAGGCGCCCCTGCTCTTCAGTGCTGGAGCTGCGTTTCTTCCATTGAACCTGGGTTCTTCAGGTTCATCCGCTTCCGGTTCTGGAGGCTCGTCGTTGTCTGATGCCTTATCACTATCGTCATTTTCATCTTCTTCCTCTGGGGGAGCATCCGAAAGCTCCGACTCATCGTCGCCTGAACCAGCCTCGCCACCATCACTGTCATCTTCTGGGTATTCCCAGTCGGCCACGCCTTCCAGCATCTCCTCCTCGTCTTCTTCGTCATTTCGCTCCGTATATACAGACACCTTATGAGCTCTACCACTGCGACGGCGTTCTGAAGGCGGCGGTGTGTCTTTGACTGGCTTGGATTTCTTAGGTTTCGAGACCTTTTTGGGCTTGCTATCACGCTTCTCTCGGATGACTGTTTTGATTTGGGTTCTCGCCCTCTTTGCTGGAGGATCCTGCTTTTCTCCGGTTGATTTTCGTTTCTATGATTAATCATTAGGAGCAATCCTCATGGCGACTAAGGAGCACAAACCTTTTTACGATCGGCAGCTTTGAGCAGTTCGTCCAACTTCTCGTCTAGCTCTTCTGGCATGTATTGCTTTTGGGCAATCTCATGGGCAACGCTGCTCGACGGCAAGCTTTGCACAAGACCGCTTGGCAGGCCGACATTGCTTGAATAAGCCTGGAAAACCCAGTTTTTCCTCTCTTGCCACTTGCGCGTGACTGCCATTGCGATATCAGCCAGCACATATATCCGCTCGCTAGCATCGGGGTTCAGTGCATCGCGCGTTTGCTTGACACGCTCAGCGTACTTGTAGATCAACGAAATGTTGTCTTCTGTTGCACACGTGTTAAGATAAAAGACGAAATAGTTGGCGAAATCAGCCAGGTCATCAACGTCAGAGCTGTAGTCAGGATGGTGAGCCAGGAGAGGAATAAAGCGAGCAATCATGGCCTCGAGTACGTGGGTTTTGTTTTCAGCAAAGAGTCGGGCTCTGGATCTCAACCAGGTTTCTACCCGGCTTTTGAGCTCTGCTGCCGGCTCGAAAGCAGCCAAGAAGAGCATTGTATAAAATCTGGCTCGTAACCTTCCTTGAGTGATATAGCTCTGTAGTTTCTCCATGAAATGGCGACGAACTTCAAGTTCTGTGTCTTGTACGAGCTCTGCAAGCTTATTGAAGCTAGCAGGATCAAACTCATCATCGTACTTTTTGACAGTACATAGCTTCAGGATCAGAAGTCCAGCAAGAAGTCTGAGTCGTTTTTTGTGAGCCAATGGAGTATCCTTGACTTTGCAGAACTCTCCTTCTTGTACCACGAATTCTTTCAAGAGTTTGAAGACAAGCTTCACTCGAGTCAGGGAGTCATCATCGTCCTGGTTCGCGAGCGCTTGATTGACCAATGTCCTCATGGAAAGACATTTTGCTTGTAGCTCCTCATTCATGTCCTCATCCTCGACCCAGGAAACCTCAGGGTTCTTGTCATCGGTACGGACTTGACGCAGAATTTGCTTGATCGTAAGGTCGTTGATTGCCTCATCAAAATCTAGAGTGACTGTTGGTGCTAGACGTTCAAGCTGGCTGACTGCAGCCAATCTTGTCAAGAAATGCGGCGAGCCATACTTAAAGTCCTTCATGATTCTTTGCAGAAGAGCGGTGGCAGTAACTTTACTCTTGTCATCGTTCTTAGCAAGCAGAATGTTGACGGCATACTTGGCACTTCTGGCAGGAACCCCAAATAAGGCGTAATCCATAAGAACCTGAATGAATTTCTTGTCATAAGTAATCTCCTGGGGATATCGTTTGGAATAGGACGAGTATGCCTTGAGAATATCCACCACGGCGGGCTCGTTAGGTTGGCTACCTGACGGTGCTTGGCTGACAATCTCTTTTCTGAGATTGTCTGAATGAGCCTTGAAAAGCGCAGGATTTCGCTGCGAGATATCATTCAAGATCTCATGGGCAACTGTGGAGAATCCTGCTTTGTCATTCTTGGAGTAGTCCATGATCGTAGCCAGGTGACTCCGATTGTACATCAAAGAGCCGGCGCGGTATATTAGAGGGATGAGCGTATCCAAACAGCTCGCTGACCCTGGGTTACCTTGGATCTTGGCAATCAACTCTTTGATTGCTCTTCGGACATGCAGATATTCAGTATCGGATGCGATAATGAATTTGAGAAGCTGGTAACATCGGCGGTCGTTGAGTTTCGCGAACTTCTGGAGATCACTACGGACCTTGAGCGGATCCGGGAAAAACGCACCGAACCACTGGAAGGTCTTGCTCAAGGCGGCTTTGACCTTTTCCTCGTTCGCATTGACCACCCCCCCGTTATAGGCTTCACATTGTTGGATGAATACTTCAACTCCCTTGGCGACCTGGGGCTGACGGGCCTGCATAATGAAAAAAGCCCTCTTGGCCGATGCATCCAGTGACTTAAGCAACAGTAGGATCCTCTCTGCGCGAATTTTGTCCTGATCCGCCTGGCTATTGCCCGTCTGCGACTGAGAGGCCGCCTTTGACTTTGCGCCCTTGATGAATGGATACTTCAAAGGAACCAAACACTCGAACATGACCCGTTCAAGAAGAATGATGAGATCCTCGTCGCCGACATACCACACACTGAGAATGCGGGAAGGCACACCACCTAAGCAGGATATGACAGCCTCTTGTCCATCAGCAATCTCTCCAGCACCAACTGACCACAACTTTGCCAGTAGAACCATGGCTTCAACACGCACGGCAGGCTTTTTATCACGAGATCGATCTGCCAAGCTGGCAAATATCGAGCCAGTCTTCTCTACACCTCCGAGAGCTCCAAGTTTCAGAACGATGTCGCGGAAGTCAAACAGCTCGACTGCTTGTACCGCAGCCAGCCGAACCTTCTCTTCGTTGTCATTGAGCTTTTCATAGAGTGCCTTGATGAGCTCGTTCTCCTCTTCGCGGCTGAGACCAATGCCTCCTGCAGACGTGGCCAAGATATAACCAGTAGCAGAGATCCAAGCGGCACGAATGATGGCTGCCTTGTCATTCTTTCTTCCAACGAAGTTGCGATACGCGATATGATGTGTTTGAGCAAAAGATTGAGGTGAGTAAGGTTTTGTCAAGACGTTCTCAACGGCTGGGGGTGGAGCGTCGTCTAGTAATTTGATAGGAGGATACGCTGCTGGTTCCAACGAAGGAGGAGGCGGTGGTCCCGCTGCACCAATGCCTGAGACCATGTCGCCAATTGTCTCTGTGGCGATTTGACGAAGATGCACATTGTCCGCTGAAAGCTCAGCATCGAGCTGCGGTACCACGTTGGAAAGAACTGTGGGTGCGGCTCGCCACAGTTCGCGAATGAGTAGATGGGCTTGGCGGAGACTCCTCAAATCTGCCTCTGATGGGCCAAGAGTTCCATCTTCATCATCAGAATCGTCCGCATGTCGCTGCCCATTGGATTTGGTAGCGAAACCGGAAGCGTTAAGGATAACGTCACTGAAATATTGACTCACGTAACGTGCCATTTTATCGGAGCATCCATTGCAGATATTTTTGGCCATGACATATGCTGGTGGCTCTGCCTTGAGGAGAAGGGTGGATTGATTCCCGTTCTGTCCTTTATGTCGATTTCCACCGGGAGGAGCAGCTCTCAGAAACTGACTGATTATCGCGTCGACAACAGAAGCTGACACACTCTCCGCCTCGTCAATCAACTGCATAAGCATTTCTGTCAGGTGAATCTCAACGTCTTTAGCGACCTGTTCCTCAGATGCTGCCTTAGAGCCAGATGCCGATACTCCGTCAAATGTGCTGTTGAAGAGTCGTAACAGTAGATCGTCAGCATTGGAGATTTGGTGGATGAGCAAAATACTCTTGACTTCCGTAAGAGATGCAAGAACGTATTTGTGCTGGCTGTCGTATGGATTTGTGGGATCGTGAAGAGCGGGCAAGATATCTTTGATGAACAATGTGAATATCATCTGAAGCGTGTTAGCATGGTACAGAAACAGACGGAGAATCGTGCCAAACACACTTTGATCTGGTCGTTGGTAAAAGGAGCATCGGGAACGAAGAGCCGAAGAATGTCGACTAGGCAGCTTGCTGTGTATGCCTTGACGCCGCCATCCTTGTGCTGAAGTAGATTACGATGACCCAATTTTTTGGCCACATCTCTGATGGAGTCCAGGTCGGCAGCGCCTTGGTCGAGATCAGAGAGCTCTTTGGATAATTTGTCGAGTCGCTTTATTAGAGTGCTCGTAGGAATTGGCTTGGCGGGTTTCCAGGAAATTTCTTCGTCGAAAGTTAAGATGCGTTGCTCGCCCTCCTCATTTTCCGAGACATGGTCGCGCTCTTCGGGCTCTTCTTCTTGGTCTTGCTCGTCTTCCCGCTCAACGACTTCCTCCTCCTCCTCCTCCACTTGAGCAGGCTTCTCGACGCGCCGACGACGCGCCATCATGCGCTATACAAAAACCGCCGATTGAATATTTTTTATTAAAGGAGCTGGAGGGCCTAGGAGCGCACTCAATAATGACGCTTCGGCAGACGGTGTGCTGTGACTGTTTGGAGTTGTGCTGGAATACGAAATTTTGGGGGTGCGTAATTGTCCTAACACCGCATCGCATGCGCTTGCTGTAGTAAAGACCTGACCGCTGTAATACCAGCACCGATGGATACAGCGCCAGTATGGTAATCCGAAAGCGATGGAGTTAGGTGTCGTAGAGACAGCAAAGTCTCGAGGGCGACGATGAAATTAGAGGTCAGAGACAAAGTGGGAGAGATGTTCTTGTGATAAGCGGAGGCGTGTTCCGTGCGCGCGACGCGACCTTACTTTTGGTTTGGACTTTAACCACTCCACTTCCACTTCCACTTCGATGGGACTGGTGGGTAGGTAGCCAAGCAGCATGAACAAATGCCTTAGCTTCTTTGACCGAGCTAGGAAAGCTAGCAACAGAAAGCCAAGCTCCCTTCCATACCTAGTAGGTGAGTTACTAGGTACCTAAACGCCAACCCGGGAAGCCGCTCCACCAATAGGATACGCCCTTAATATGTATGCTTCTACTGAGCTCATGCTTGTGGCTAGCTGCATAAAACTCCAACCTCAAAGTCTCCTTTTATATCACAAATGCACGACTATTTGCCTAATTTCAACAATCATACATGTCATTATTGGTTTGAGTATTGACTCAATGCGGGGATTTGGCTCCGAACTAGAACCTACTCTAAGACATTAATTTGTGCCTCTCGCGATCGACCTATTCATGCCATTTGCCGGAAATGCTCCCTGTCTAAGTAAGTAGGTATATCAATGTCAACGGCTAGGTAGGTAGGTATGAGTCAAATTAACTATCAAGAACCTTCATTGTCAGCTACCATACCCCAGTGCGGTATTACTACTGAATAGGAAGTACACCCCAAAAGAACTACATGTCTCCAGGTTCTATCTTCCGCCATAGTTGGACTGAAATCTAAGAAAACAATTTCAACCCTTTACAACACATGGTTAGACTAAGTTCTATTGCCCTAATGATTAATAAAAAGGATTTCCTGAGGTCAGTATCGGAAGTCTGCTGGCCGTGGATCCTGATAGGGCATTATGTGGCCCGCTGGCTGGCAACTAAATGTCGTTCGGGCAATCGTGAGGGATGCCATATTCGGGCATAGCGTTCTGAATATAGGTACCTTTAACTGCCTATCTAGGTAGTCACTTCAGATTGGTCATTGAAATCAAGGTAGGGTGTCTATAGACAGAGACATGCCGACTAATGCAAGGTCCCTAGTTAACGGCTCCCAAGTGAGAGTTGGGAGATAACATCATCACGAACACTCTAAAATACCTTTACTGTATTGCCTTTTTCCATTACATATTAATCTGCGTATCTAGAAGCTCATCAGTTAACCGATACTCCAACTCCACTGGCTCTCCTGGCACGTACATACACGGCATTGGATACAAGTGTTGCGAACACGGTGATACTTGAATTGTTGCAACAGAGCCGTTTATGTACGACCATGGCATGTTTGCTTCATTTCACCGTGAGGCGAATTCGACACACAGAGCCTCCATTTGGAGATTACATACTAGAAAGTTCCCTTGCGGTTTCGGCCTGGAGCAATTCAGGATGGATCTGTGTTACACAAGTTTGGCCGCATCGTTTGCCGGGTGTCGAATCATTTTTCTACCATGTAAGTGTTAGCCACGGGCTAATTAACTTGTACTCGCCTGTGAAAGAGCATTTCCCGTTGGTGGAAGCGGAAGATGGTGTTGCGTGGGTTATCTCCACTGCCTGTTGTGCTTTGGTGGCAAGCTGTTGAGTACAAGTTGAGCCGTTGCCCCTTAAGAAGAAGAATGTGATCTCTCTTCCTTTTATCCTCTTTTATGCCTCTTCTCTCTTTAACACGGGCTGGTTTTTATCACCCACCTTTCCATTGAAAGATTCGTTTAACTCTCGTTTGACACGCGACTGACGAAGGAAATAAGGCAACTGACCTCGCCTTACTTCATGTAAGCCAATATTCTCCATTCTTCAAGACCTGTGATCACTGCGTCAATTTGACTCCATTCTCCAAAGAATGCTGGGTGCAATTTAGGTAGGTGCCCATAGACAGAATGTTGAAGTCATTGCAAGTGTCAAGCCTGCCACTGGCTGCCAACCAGCCGGCAGAGCAATATGCGGCCCTGCTCTTTCTTGGTGCCTTGATGAATCACTGCCTCTCCTGCTCTGTTTATTTATTTCTCCTTATCTCACCGCTAAGGAAACTCCTCCCAACTCTGATTCTTTCCTTGAATCACTCAACCGGCTGTTCGCTCCTTTCCCTCTCCCACCCTTACTATTTCTTTCTCTCCTCGTCCCTCGTTTCTACTCTACTCCTCCATCTTCCAAACTTCGTTATTCCAACGTTGTCTAACATAATTTGTCTTCCCAACCAGAAGAGGCCTTATTATATCCACTCAACCGGTATGTATCTTTTCTTTTCTTTTCTTTTCTTTCCTTTTGCTGTACTCCTATCCTTCACTTGGTCTCGGGTATCAGGCGCTGCATCGCTCTCGTGACGAATTGCGCTCGTGTCATTTTCTTCACCCGGCGAATCGTTTGCTAATCACCCTAACAGTCACTTTAATTATCCAGTATTACTCACTATCAATTTTGATTCAAGTACGTCCACAGTCGCTTTCCAGTACTCCCCAAGGCTGACTTCATCTCCAGTGGCGGACGTGATGGATTCCGAGAAGGGTGAGGGCCAAGCTCCCCGAATGTCCAAGTATAGCAAGATGAAGAGATCTCCCTTCTTCATCAAGCTGATTGTTGCATGTGCGTTTATCATATGTGCAACTCTCTTCATGTTTGGCATGGGTATCCTCGGCGCAGCCTACGGTATGTTTTTAGAATTCGGTGTTGCCACGACTTGTGACAAACTAACCAGGTAACAGCCAATGCAAAGTTTTACAACCGTAACAGAAGCCCCGTTGTCGACGTTCTTTCAAGTGATCAGGTGCACAACATTGCTCGCCGCCTCGAGAGCGCCGGTGGCTCATACCCTATCTCGTATGTCCCCGACTCCTAGGCACTTTCATGATACCAAAGAAGTCGCTGACCCTTGACCCAGGACCAAGACCGCTGTTTCTACAATCTATAGCGTCAGTTACACCTCGAATGCTGATGTGGTCACCGAGGTTGAAACTGTTACTGGCACCCGCTATGTCACTGTGCCTGGTGAAGCCCAGGTGTCTGTTTCTGTCACCACACGGGAGAGCACTACCGAATACTGTGAGGTTGAGGTCATTACCATGACCGAAAGCTACACGGTCACTGTACCCAACGGCAAGGTCTCCCAGGACTCCTCGGGTGATGCTATTGGAGCCACCGTGACCGGCAACCCGCAGACTGTGACCGAGAATGAAACCGATTTCTCTCTCACCAGAAGTCCGTCTGATGCTATCGTCACCGGTAACCCACAGACTGTGACCGAGAACGAAACTGATTTTTCTCTCACCAGTGGTCCGTCTGATGCTATCGTCACCGGTAACCCACAGACTGTGACTGAGAGCAAAACTGATTTTTCTCTTACCATTGGTCCACCCGATGCCATCACCACCGCCAGCCCTGAGACCATCACGAATACTTTCGAGGTTTCCTCGCCCTCCAAAAAACCGCACACAACTATTACCATTCAAAGTCTCTATCCCCCCGAGAAGGTCCGAGCACTGTCACCCAGTACACCACTGTTGAAAAGACCATCGCAGCCCCCAAGTCATTCATCACTGTCACTTTGACTAGTAAATGCCCAGAATGCTCACCCACCGTGTCAGTTTCTCCTACCAGTAGCACCACGACGACTGTTTACGAAACTGCTGGTGTGCCCCCGACCTCTACAACAACTATCGTGGTTCCGCCTCCTGCTTACCCACCTTACCCAACCGCCAACAACACCTTACTGCCGGGTCCGTCCGGTAGCGTCACTGTTGCGCCTACTCTACCTACTCCGACTCCTGTTGTTGTCTCAGGAGGCACCAAGAAGCCTGAGCCTCGTGGGTGGGGTGGTACCAGCGGGACCACCAATCTCAGCTGCACCGTTATGCTGGTGGCCATTATCATGTTTGCACTCTAAGCTTTGACAGAGTAATCGGCACATATGCTGACCTTTTGAGAAAACTTGATCAAGGAAAGGAATGGCAAGAAAGGACTTGCATGACGTGAAGGGGCCACGTTAGCAGAATTGGAGTTTCAGCGGTCAGAATTGGCATTGGACTTGGCATCCAAACTGGAAATGGAGTTGAGATGATCTGTAAATCTGCTCTTGGCTTGCGCTGTGCTGCGTACCTAGGTAATACATGAGGGGACGCTGGGAGCTAGGTATAGATAAAAAAGTTCAATATCGCAGCATGGGTACTTTTAATTTCGACGCCGAATCCTTGATGTTGATGTTACTTGAGGTTTGTCGATATCTCCTAGTTTATACAAGCTATGAAAGTATTTAAGAAGAAGGTGTGTCTGTTCAAACCAAACTTCCGAGATGCTATGTGGTGCAGTGATGACATGTGAGAATCCCCTATCCTGAAACCTTTCCCAACGCCTTGCCCCATCGATACAGAACCAATATCCCCAGACGCCATGTTTGCCAGTCGATTATTCTATCTTGCAGGGCCCCTACTCGCCCGAGCCTTCCAGGCATTCTTGATTTCCCCAGCTGCTCTATACAGGTCCTTCTCCGAAACTCGGTCCTCAATGCTTTGAAGCACACTCTTAGTTGTGCTGATGTGGTTGGCCTCGTTCTTGTCATCGCGGAAACGCACAATGCGCCATCGGCCTTGCTCATCGATGTTACATTCAACCACTCGCCAGTTAAGCGGATCGTTGAGCGACTTGAGAGTCTCCCACTCCTCCTCAGAGATGAACACGCTGTTGAAATACTCGTACTTTTCGGGGCCGTTACCGCCTGCGTAGACGTACAAGTCGGCTTTGGGAACGCTGTCGTAATCAACGAATGGCTCAGTGATGCCTTCGCGACGCTCTTCGTCGCTGGGCTCAACTTCCACAAAGTTCAGGGACAGGCGACAGTCTACGGTGTTCTCCTCTGGTGGTTTCCATTTCAAGATGTGGTTGTCGGTGCCGTGTTTGTAAGCAGTGGTGCGACAGGTGAATATCAGACCGTCGTTGCCGTGCTTTAGCTTCGGGAGGATATCTCTGAACATCATGTCAATGGCGTAGGCAAATTGGGGTTTCTTCATCTCCACGTAGAAGGGCTGGAACTCTAGTTCCTGAGGGTATTCCTGATAAAGTTTCTTATATGGGCGATAGAATCGTTGGTCGAAATATGCGAGTCGCTTGTCGAGTGTTCGTTCCATGAGCAGGGCACCATCCAGCACCAGACAGTCAAAGACCAGAAACATTGGGACGCGCTTCCCGTCCGAGCCTGTGTCCCAAACCAGTTCACCGTCGATCAACGTGTTCGTGTGGAAAGCCTCTGGGGAGTTCTCGAGAGGAAAGTGTAGGCTTCTGTTCGTGATGAACCAAAAGTCGTTTTTGCGATCGATTAGGTAGTGAGCCTCGTTTCCATTCTCGTCTGTTGTCGAATAGAGAAGATATCTGATACCGTCGGACTTTTCAACTACGTAATAACTGCGAGATCGCCGTTAGCTGTAGGTTCCAAATCGCGAGTTAGCGGTCCATGTCAATCTTACTCGTGCTGAGCGAGCTCCTCGAGATGCTGACGGGCGAAGCTTACAGGCTGCGCACCGGGAAAGCCAGTAGCAGATCTGTTGAGAAGGTTCGCGACCTCCTTCCGCATTTCGTGAAGTAGCTGTCCTTGAGCCTTGATGCCTGGCTCTGCGATGGAGGCGATGGGCCCATCTTGTTGGGCCATCGCGATGACTGTGGTGAGGATGCGCTGGCGGAGATTGATTGTTGTTGCGACAATGAAGCTACTGCCCTTTATAACAAATGCTTATCGATAAGGAACCCTTCGTACAGAACCCCATATGCTCCCAACCTGGAAGCTCCAATTGAAAGGATACCGAACTAGGTACATTAGCAGGCTTGGGGTGTGCTTTTTGGGAGACAGAAACTCTTTGAGAGTATTTGAGAATTAAAAGAATAGGAATTTGTTCTTTTTTGCACATTTATGTGATGTAGTATTCTTGCGAGAGGGATTGGAGAGTGCTAACCTGGTATATAACAGGTTGAGATGGGCAGCCATTCAGGCTGGACCTCAACATACGTACGTATATTGGATTTCATTAAAGCTCTTTTTTCCGGAGACGATTTACAATCTTCAATGTCAAGCTTCTAATCCTCCTGGCGAGACCAATAAATCATCGTCAACAAGCCTACACCCAATTCGCAGACATTGCGCGACTTCACAATAAATTATAACGAACATAATCTCAGCGTAGAGACCACAGCAGGGAAGAAGTCAATGAATTATATGGAAATATTATTCCTCTCTTCTTATCATCTACGGCTTTCGAACCATTCCATCAGGCACACAAAACAGAACACAACATGTTTAGGACTCGTCAATCTTCTCTACCTCTGCTCGAGCTTCCTCCCATTGTTGCTTACTTTTCTTCGCCCATTCGATCTGACTCTGAGCATAAGCGAGCTGATGGATGTTAGCGCTTCGACAATTAGTCAAGACTGAATTCATAAACTCACCATGTAGCGTCGCAAGTCATCCTCCTTGTCCTTTTGAAATCGCTTCATATCCTTCAGGACACTAGCACTGGCCTCTTTGACATCACGCTCCGAGACCACTTGGGCTTGTTCTAACTGACCGATGCTCTCTCTTGTCTTTCCGATCAAATCGCGGCGTGTTCTCTCTGGATCGACGTCAACAACCCCCTGTACTGCATGCCGGATGGGTCCAAAAATCTTGTTCGTTATCGAGTTCCCACTGGGCATCTTCTTATGAGATGGCGCGCTGGTACTCCTTTCGGGTAACCCCTGGCTGGCTGAAGGTGTGTGTGAGGAAAATTCCCCATGGGTCCCAGGAAAGTCAGAGTCGATGGACTCGGTGTCGTCCTGGCCACCATCACGCCGTTGATGAGAGGACGGCTCCTTAAGGCTCGTCGATCGCTTTGGCGGTGGTGATATTTGCTGACTGCTGGAGAGGTAATTCTCAATCCTTCGGGCCTCGGCCTCGCTCTGCTCTAGCTGGTCGAGCAGCGCTCGCTTCTTGTTCAGCTCTTCGCTGGTCAAGTCTTGCTGCACACGCTTGAGCACACGATACTTTAGTACACTTCGAACAACACCCGCAAATTGCGCATGCTCACGCATGGGTTCGGCAAAGCTAGCACCCAGAGAGCCTGAGAGCTCCTCTGTGGCGATATATGATAGATCAGCTGCCTGGCCTATTCGCTCAATGGCCGGTCCGAGTGACGGCGCCTGCTCTGATACCGCAAAGGCGTTGTAGACGGATCCTAGCTCACAAAGATCGGCGGCCAATGATGAAAGATGACTGAGAGTTCGTCGGTTCACCTTTTCCATTGGGCCAGTAAGAAGCTGTTCGAGTTCCTTAATCGAAGATTCGTATGAGATGAAATAAGGGTCCAGCTCCTGTTCGCCCAGATTGTGACCCTCAGGTGGAAACCGGCCAAAGGCATGAGGCCCTGCTTGGATATGGCCTGAGCTATTGTCGTGATTGGTACCAGCCACTGTCTTGAGCTTTGCCGATGCTGCCGGGATTGGCAAGTAGTTGTGTGCGGGAGTTGGGTTTGCGGGGTCCAGCGGAGGCGCTTTCAAGATCGACTTGGGAATTGACGACACGGGATGAGAGTGTAAGACCTCGCTCTATTAAGCAGTTAGTAGTGGCAACTGCGCATTCAGAAACCCGACATACCCAGCTGGCATTGGGGTCCAGGAATCGCCACCAAACTCCATCTGTTCGGATTTCGTCCATTCGGCGGCAGCGATTTAGGAAGACTGCCAACATGCGCTTTCGGAGATCAATGATTTGCTGATCCTGCTTCGCATTCGTGGGGTTCGCAGCATAATCAGCCATCGTGTGCTTCTCAGGGATGGGAGGAACAATCAAGGTAGGGTGAAGACGAGTAAGGGCATCGCGCAGAGAAGCGAACTCTGAATATCGGCGGCGCACTTCAAGGTCCTGTCACGTAGTGGTCAGTGAAATGCCCCGAAGGACTAGCTGTAGATGGACGTACACCAGTCTTAATAGTGTACACGATATATCTGCCGCCGCTCTCTAGACTCTTGCCAGCATCCGTGATGAGGATGGATAATTTGGGGTTCTCATATAGTATCTGCTCGATGCGACTGTCGTAACCACCGGGCTTGCGCTTGGGACCGGTATCTTGCGCCGAGTCTCCATCGCCATCACCACCGCCGTGGCCAGTTTGGCCATGCTCATCATCGCTACCGGAGGTTGGTGTTTGAGGTGGCTCGAACGATTGGTCTGAGATAAAATCGTAAGTATCATTGATTTCTTCCTCGTCCTCTGACGAAATTGAATCAAACATCTCAGCAGCGATTTAGGGATGGCCCTGGAAATGCTGTCTAGTGAAATGGTGTGGGTAATCGACGTACAATTACGAGTTGACGGGGACGTCGGATTGACAGACGACGACTGTGAGTCCCGCCTGTCAAAGCTGGTGCCGTACGGGTTATTGTCCTCGTCATTCCACATTCTGACGACTTGTTGAGGGCAATCGCGACAGCTGTTGCGAAAAGAGGTATACAATACAACCTAAGGTAGTCTATTTCGCGCGTTTAAGCCGGGAGCCTGGACAGGAGCTGGTAGGCTGCGGGTGAAGGACGAGAGCTTCAAGCGCAAGGTAGATCGTAGCTAGCGGGGGAGGGGCAAGCATGGGTCGAATGAAACGATACGATACGATGGTTCATGCGCTGATGCTGACTACATTCAGGCCTATCGCTCCTGGTCGTCGAGTATAACTAAGCAGAGTATGAGAAGAAGCCCGGGTGAAGTAGGTATGAGATGGATGTCGCGGTCGGCGGTGTCGGTGTCGGTAGTGGAAGTAGGGTACCTACCTAAGATAAGGTAGGCAAGGTAATGAAGGGAATAGGATGACGTTGAATGGGGCTGGGCCGAGTTGGCTACGGCTGAAGTTGGCCTAGGTCATCAATTCCTCTGTGCCGTAAGTACCTAGGGTAGGCTGCTAAATTAGGTACCTATCTCTAGTAGGTGACAAGGGTGTGAGAGAACGAGCCTCGAACTTTGCTTTACCTGTTGTGGAACCTTTCCAAGGCCCATCGCATTGGATGCTTTTACCCGAGTCAAATGGGTATTGACATGAACTCCATTAGTCAACCCTGAATAAATAAATATTTATGTGAATAGAGATCAATTGTCTACTATGATTTTTTATTGGACAAGTCACGCTTAAAGGTGATAAAAGGTTTTCTTATGCTCGTGCTCTTCGCGTGAGCGCCCCCTTGATTTTTCAAGTCATCCCGCATTGAACATCTAAGTAATCTTCGTCACGAAAACATAACCTCATGCCTCTATCCAACAGAGCCTTCTTAAGAGGCGCCTCCGCGACCACCGACTCCCCACTGTGCTTGCGCCTCGGCGATCGAGGCGTCAATATCGGGTAGCTTACGTCCTCTACCTGTAGGTGCGGCAATGAACTTGATCTCAACAAGGTACCGAAGATACCTACCAATATCCTCACGAGAAATGCCGTCTCCTGCACTATCATCAATGTCTGTCCAGCGGTCTGCATCAGCTCTAAGAACAGCCATAGCGTTCCTATCATCCAGCTCAGGAGCACGAGTAGTGCTTGGGAGATTTGCAGTAGCCATATGGAATAGCGGCATTAATGCGCTTTGCTCCTGATCCTTCTCTATGGCTCCAGCTGAGACAAACTCCTCTAGCTGCGACTTCCAGACATCATAGTCAACCTCAGGTACTTCATAACCGTAGTAACTCAGTGCAGATAGGAACTCGTTCATCCGCAGACGGGGGTGAGCAGTAACGTGCACCACGTTCATGCCAGGGAGGGGGTTCAGCGTCGAAGCGACAACAACGCGTGCGACGTGGTCGACAGGGACAGCATTGACTGAGTTGATGATGCGAGGACGAGCACCAAGTTGGATACACCCCTTAAAGAGGCGAATAAGGAAGTCATCTGTATTTGAGACACCACTGTTGCGGCTGCCAAGGATGTAGCCTGGTCGGACGATTGCGCCGCGGAGACCACGGCGGCCGGCCTCGCGGACGAGTTGCTCAGACACCCACTTAGTTTGTCCGTAGCCGGTGCTAAGACCGGTGCGGTTGGGGAGCAAATCATCGGACTCAAGGACAGCGCCTCGGCCGGTAGCCGTCTGGGCGTCGGACAGGTTGATATAGTAGTCGGTATCGAGGGTCGAAGTGGAGGAAACAAATGAGAAGAGCTTAGGTTTGCCCTCATTGCAGAGCTTCATAGCGTCAATAGTAGAGAGAACATTAGGCCCCATCATCTGTTCGTAACGAGCGATCCAGTGGACGTACGCAGCGTTGTGGATAAATGCATCAGCTGTATCAGCAACATGCTTCCAGCTAGCGTCGTCAAGGCCAAGACGAGGCTTAGAGAGATCACCAATAACGCAGGAGATCCTATCAGCCCAAGAGTCTTGCCAGAGACCATAGCCCTTAAGGGACCTTACAAGACGCTCCTTTGCGAACTTAAGGTCTTTGGCTCCACGGATACAAGCGATAAGCTTAGTGTTCTTTCTGTCCAGTATATCCTTGGCTAGGTATGCGCCGAGAAAGCCAGTAGCCCCGGTAAGAAAGAAATTGGCGCCGTTAGAAGGGCTCAGAGCATCGGGATCCGCGCTTTGGTACTTCGCGTCTAGAGTATTGGTAAGCTCATCGAGGGAGTCAGAGTAAACAGTATCGTTAGAATGGTCGACTGTAACAGCCTGGCCACTACGAAGACTGTCGACTGTGCTGCCTAGGCCGCGAATAGTGGGATTTGCATAGAGGACACCGATGGTGACGTCGGCGCGCAATTCCTTGCGAATGTTAAGTAAGAGTTGCTGGGCAAGAAGACTGTGACCACCGCAGTCGAAGAAACTTGAGTCCGGCCTACAAATCGAGGGTTAGTATTTAAATGGTAGAGAAGTGAACCATCAGCAGAAGCATACCTGACTATCTTGGCATTCAGACCCGGGATCAGAGCTGACCATTGTGTCGCAATAGTCTTCTCAGTCTCAGATAGACTCTCCCAGCTCTTCAGATCCTCCTCCGAGGCATCCTCTGTTATGAGAGAGGCATCAGGGAAAGGAAGATTAGGAGAGTCAACCTTCCCGTTCGGGTTAAGAGGCAGCTTCTGTAACACAATGTAGATCGAAGGAACCGAGTGCGCTGGTAAGCGAGACTTGAGGTGGTCTCGCACCTCGGCTTGGATACGGCGGAACCTCTTGAGGTAGACGGTACAGGGTCCCATTTCTACACCCTCTTCTTCGATATCCTGGAGGCCCTGTGTCTCAAGCCAGCGCTTCCATTCAGCAATCTCAGGCACGATGTAGCTGACAAGCGTCGGCTCCTCATTACGATCTCTTCGAACCAGGGTCTTACAGTCTCGGATCAGAGGACTGCCACTAAGGTTCGCATCAATCTCGTTGAGTTCAATCCGGAATCCACGGATCTGTCAAAGTTAGCTTTGTAAAAACGCACAATAGAATGAATCATTATCCACCTTAACTTGTGAGTCCATACGACCTAGGACACGCACAGCCCCGTCTGGTCGATATTCTCCGAGGTCCCCTGTGACGTAAAGTCTGTCTCGCGGCCCCTTGTAGTACCTGCGCCAAGGTTCGCCCTTATCGTTGGCCTTGTCTGCTTCAACCCACTTCTTGTTGTCAACGAACCAGTTATCAACGAACTTCTCCTTGTTTTTCTCAGGATCATTAAGGTATCCTTCGGCAAGACCAGCAGCGCGGATATAGATCTCTCCAACCACACCAATCGGACAGATCTTAGTGTGATCTTCTCGATCCACAACCAATACCTGGACACCCTTCATGCCCCAGCCAGCGGGAACAGAGTCGCCGAGTGGGTCCAGGGCTGTCGGGTCTTCCTGGGCGGAAGGGACCTCAAAGTAGGATACAGCGCGAGAAGTTTCTGTGGTTCCGTACATGTTGATGATGGTGCAGTCAGGACTTAGCTGACGAAGACTCCTACAGTCGCGAGTAGTGAGGACGTCACCAACGAAGAAGACCTGGCGCAAGCTAGGAAACTGCGCTGTGGCGCCACCAACCAGAATCTGTCCCATGGCAGGCGTAAGATGAGTTGTCGTTGGTGACCACTTTCTCATCCATTCACTCAACCTCACGTGCTGGATATCCTCCTTAGCGGGTAATATGAGCTGAGCAGCCAAGGCCAGGGGCGTCATGATATCTGAGGCCAGAATTAGTAACAACTTTTGAATACATAGCAAACGGATCCGCACCTCGCTGGATTGGGTCATGGGCAATTCCGGAAAGACAGGCGAATACGCTTTCTGATGAGAGGCCGAACTTCTCAGCCATCCATGGGAAATATTTTGCCAGGCTGTAATGACGTCCAAGCACGCCCCTATTAAACATTAATAAAAGTTCAAGTTCTCACCAAAGTGAAAGGAAAAGGAAAAGAGAAGCTTGTACTTTGGCAATCCTTGCGTTCCGCTAGTAAATGACAGCGTACAGTTAGAATCGGGTCCAATGAGCACATCAGGAGGTGTTGAGGCCCTCTCCTTAACGTTGGCGAAAATATCAGCACTGTCTTCGCCCCCAGTCAACTCGCCATCGTCGGTGAAGCGGAGGTCTGGAATCTTGATCTTAATGGCAAGTTCATCATCAATGTACTTTTGGACGAGAGGAGCAAGAGGACTGTATCAAGACGTTAATCAAGGAAGCTCTCGGGTCATGAAGAGTCGGGGTTGGCCCTACCCACTCTCCTCCGTAGCCTTGCGAATGGAGATCAGCGCCTTAGGCTGGGAAACTTTAAGATAGACTGGTATGATATGTTAGTTAATGTTTATTCCAGTTCTCGTCTGAGGTACACCATACTTTGTTGTCTTTGCGGGGGATATTGAGGATCAAGGACAGTAACGATACCGCCAGCAGCCAGGGTTCCCATGTACGCACAGACCAACTCAACTGAGCGGTGCGCAAAGATCATGACTACATCTCCATTCTGGATGCCAGAATCGCGTAAATAATTGGCGATGTTGTTACTTGCCTCATCAATCTGGCGGTAGGTGTATGTTCTTGTTGGCGCCCTGTATGCGTTGTCAGCAACTGATGTAATTACAACCATGTTTCAATGCAAAGGAACATCACCCACTTCGAGGTCTCAGTCTCTGTCACACAAAGCCTGTCAGGATGAGCCACGGCATTCTTGTGGAATATCTCATGAATGCCTCCAAGGTAGCCTCCCCAGTCGAGGTCTTCAGTAGGGTCAGGTAGCGACATTATGGCGGCTGAACTAGTACACAATCTAGAAAGAAATCCTGGCGGCTACAGCCAATGAAGGATGCGAAGAGATCGGACGGCTGAGGGCGTTGATGAATTCAAGCTCTCGAGATGTCGTCTTCAGATGTAATAGAGCGGTGGTCTGAGGCCATTTAAGAATGAATGAATATAGCTTGTGGCTTCCAATGCGTCACACAAGAAATTTCTATGGAGCTCCGAGAGCGGAGGACAGGTATAGGGTAACCAGGATAATGTTTTTGCGGGGCACGTGACCTTCTCTCACATCTGAGACCATTTTGTCACAGAGTAAATTCACACACAAATAGTCTCCACGGAGTTCCTGGACCCGTGACTGGCCCGTGCCGAGGTCGGGTATGACTATTGAGGGAAACCTATCGTTGTTGACCGTTACATAGTACATCACTCCAAACATACACCAACAGTCTTATTACTGATGATCTAGTTACTGTACATAGGTCGCTAGTACAACACTGTGAAGAGGTTTGAGTTCTCCTTACTGAATCCTACAATTCAATATCTCACAGCTCTACTATTTTAAGCAATCCAAATCAAACGTTATAGACTCATAAGCCACATGTTGTGCTCGTCTCTTGTACTGCCTCCAAGCACATGGCTAGTAGAAACCGCCCCCTTGATGGGTGGGCTGAGGTGTTAATGGACCAGTGACGCTTCCGGTCATTTGGTTTGCATTGGCATACCTAAATCAATGAATCAGTATCAATCAAGACAAAGAATGCGAACCCACAAACTGACGTGCTGTCCCAGTTTCTTCTGTGCATCTCGCGACCTCGGTGGTGCTGCTCGCACTCAGGATGATATGTTCTAATGGTTGGCTGACGAGACAATGTTGGCGCATAGGCATGAGATTGCCGTCTGGGGGCATGTTAGTACTATATGAATCTGATATACGAGAATATCCTACCCGGGCATCATAAATTCGAGTTGGTCAATATGCTGTCGAGTGTCCAGCATCACAGGCGTGGGAGTTGGTGGCCTTTCTATGGGATTGAAAGGCGGTCTAGCGGGGAGCATGGCCAAAGGGTTGTGATAATCTGACGGGTTGCTATCATTGGCGTGCGATACATCTGTTTGTCCGCGAGATTCTTGCTTGTTGGATGCGTTCTGACGAGTATGCGGCAGCTGCACATTAGAAATCAGGTCGTAATCGTCACTATGGACTGTCGCTGCAGCAGAACCAGGCGATCGGATTATATCACTACCAGCTGTGTTGCTCATGTCACTTCCCTGAGAGTGATCTGAGGGACCACTGTTGCGCCCAAGGCCTTGACTGTTGCGAGGTGCATCATGGGCCTCTGCTTGTTTATCCGTAGATATGTTTGCGTTTGCTTCCTGATGAGAGCCTTCTGGCTGAGGCTGTGGTATAGGAGGGGTTCCGGGAACTGATTCGCTGTCCACGGTCGAAGCTCTTCCGAGAGGAAGCCCAAATGCTCGACGGAGGCGCTGACGCCAGGAAGGGTGGCGAGGGGGCAAACCGCTTGAAGACATGGAAGCCGGAACTGACCCGGAACGCTGCAATGGTCTGACTGGCTCATTCTGACGAGTCGTAGGTTGAAATATTGGCTGTGGTTGAACGTATGTAGTTGGCTGGACGGGCAGAAATACCGGGATCTGCTGTTGAGGCATCACCCCTGGAGGACCCTGAAGATGCGGGAGGGCAACAGGAGCGAGAGGAGCGAGAGGGGGATGATAGAGTAAAGGCTGATATGAGACCTGTTGGCTTGGGAATCTCGGAACAGGAGGTAGTTGTACTAGTGAAACAGTCGGGGCGAGGGCGAACGAGCGTCTTCTACGCCTCCGTTGGCGGCGGAGCACAATTTCCTGGTGAGCAGTCGTTATTCTGCCCAAGTAGTACATGTAGGCGAAGAGAAGAACGATCAAGATAACTGTAGCACTGATGATAATACCTGCTTGCTCAGCGGGAGTCAGGCAATCCCAACCCAGACAGTGGTGACTTCGCGGATCAAGGCTCAATATGTAGGGCCAGGCGATGCCCACCTGGTTGGTGGGAAGAACGGGGGCCATCGCCCTGAAGTTCTGTAACTGCTTTTCTCTGTACCCAAGTGTAGGTACTGATTGAAGCTCGCAAATATGAGTTGATGAAGTAATTGAGAAGAAAGTCCTGCCAGGGGATGGGCGAAGACGAAGAAGATCCTGCCCATGAGTATTGACGGTGTTGAGAAAGAAGAGAAACGAGGTTCGAAGGCTCAACATGAAGAAGGTATCTGAATTTCAAATAGAGATATAGATCCGAGCTTGAGAACTCATCATTGGCAAAGTTGGCTGACACTGTCTGCCAGCTGCCCGGTGCCTAGTGTTTACCCTACCGGCACCCTGAGCTTGGCCATCACTGCCAGCCTGTGAGGGATTGAAGTAACATGCTCATATAGAAACATTAGTATTTGAGTTTAAAAGAGAGACTAGAGCGCTTTGGGGATTGTGATGCCTAAGATGGTGATATGGTGTTATTCTGGAAGAACGAAGAGAGGGAAGTCGACTGGATAGAAATGTGCTCTTCTCTGGCCCATGTAATATGTACATCAAAGGAACTAAATATAAACAAGATAAATATAAGTCACATAACATGAGACAGTACATCATTAATATAGAAGCTCGAAGAAAAACAGTTTTATTAGTGTTATTATAATACGGTAAACCATACTCAGAGATTCGATCAAGGCATGATAACGTCCTATACCTGTGCAACAGTATAGCTATATACATGTAATATAAGATTACTGTTAGCTCAAGTTCCTTGAATTACAATTTAGTATTAAAGAGCTTGACTCTCTAGTCTTGTGAAAATGTTTACAGTGAGACCGTAAAAGAAGGGTTGACAATACAGAGAAGCATTTATAACAATATCCTCCTTATCAATCAGAGTGCGACAGTAACCGTTCCAACGTAACTTAGCAAGACTTCACATCCCAATCAATAACACGGGCGGCCTGAGTTTACCTAGAATTGAGAACCAAGTTGTCTTGTAGGCTGTAGTCACCTCATGCTGGAGATTTCACTGTATAAGTCATTGGCCAATCAGCGAAAGGTTCATGTCCCACTAATATGCACGGAAGTACGTACCGCATTCAAGACCTGTCTGGGGGGTAGCTTCTCAGATTCTCTTTCATCCTGCGATACAACAAAACTAAGTTAACACGCCCAAACTTTCCACGCCATCATCACAACCGACCCCCCTCTCGCCAGCGTAGACAATATCACGCAGGCTCGCTCAGATTCTGCGATTGATTATGTCACTTGGTCTTTGAACCACTCGATGAGCTGATCCTCCTTTATCTCGAGGCGCATTGCTACGAGCTCCGAGCGACGCGTTCCTCGAACCGACTTTTTGCTCCTGAACGAACACTATTACTCTTTTATCCTCACGCCGCTCCCTGAACCACAATGTCTTCTTCGCAAACAACCGCCGCGAATGGTGTCAATGGCAAAACACGGTCCGCGCCGGTCAGTACCCGATTTACTGACATCCCTTCCGCTATCGACATCCCCGTGCAAGGTGATCAGGAAGATGAGGCTGTCGAAATTGACCTTGAGGACCTCGTCGATGACCCTACCGAACTCTGTACCCTCTTCGAAAACGAACGCGCTGCCAAAACTTACTGGATGACCGTCGCTCTAGCTTATGCTAAGCAACACAAGATCGATCATGCCATCGAGATGCTCCAGCGAGGCGGCAGCGCCATTCAAAGCAACAGTTCCAACCCGCGCGATAAAGTCAGCATGATCTGTTGTCTATGTTGGATGTATCTATGGAAGAGCAGAGAGGCCCCTCGTGTCGCACCTGAGGGCACCTCCGTGTCCGAGGCCAAGACAAAGGAGTATTATCTTCAGCTCGCGACATCCTCCCTTAACGATGCTGCTCGACTCAACCCATCGTTTCCTCCTATCTTTCTCGCCCGTGGTGTTCTCCTCCTCCTGCGAGCCTCTTTGCAGGCACCGTCTAAAACTGCTGGAGGCATTGGTTCCGAGAAGCACGAGCTCCTTAAGACTGCTGTAAAGTCCTTTGACGATGCCCTGCGAGTCTCCCAAGGGAAAAACATGCTTGCACTGATGGGAAAAGCTCGTGCTTTGTTTTCAATGCACAAATACCCCGAGTCGCTCGCAATCTACCAGGATGTTCTGCAAAAGATGCCCGACTTGGTTGATCCAGATCCCCGAATTGGTATTGGCAGCTGTTTCTGGCAGCTTGGCTTTAAGGACGACGCTAAGATGGCCTGGGAGAGGTGTATCGAGATCAACCCTGATTCAAAGGTTGCCAACATTCTGCTCGGCCTTTACTACTTGGATGCGAGCGGTCACGTACCAGTGAACAGCGACGAATTCCTGAAGCTCTACAAGAAGGCTATGACTGAATACACGCAAAAGTCTTTCAAGCTTGACAAAGACCTCCCCCTTACCTGCTCGACTTTTGCCGGTTACTTCATGTCTCGAAAATCATGGGACAATGCCGCCAAGCTGGCGCACAAAGCTATCCAGTATACAGACGTCAATGCCATTGCCAGTGATGGTTGGTATATGCTTGCGAGAAAAGAGCATTATGAAGGTGATACGGAACGTGCGACCGATTATTATCGTCGTGCTGATGAAGCTCGCGGAGGCACTGAGACAGGCTACCTTCCTGCTAAGTTCGGTGTTGCCCAGCTTTCAGTTTTGAAAAATGACTTGGGAGAAGCTAAGCTTCGCCTGGAAAAGATGATTCAACAATCCAAGAGTCATGAGGCCATGATTCTCCTGGGCACGCTGTACGCCGAGGAAGTCTTTGCTAACCAGGTCAGCGACAGCAAGGAGGACAAGTCTGCTGAACTCAAGAAAGCCACCACTCTTCTTGAGGGCGTACGAAATGCTTGGAAGGACCCGAAGAAGACATTATCGCCAGATGCCTCAGTTCTCCTCAACTTGGCACGCCTGTATGAGACAGATCATCCTGAGAAGGCTCTACAATGTTTGCAACAAGTTGAGCAGCTGGAATTGGACCAGGTCCCGGCATCCGAACGACCCGAGGACGTTACTGACGAGGCCGAGATCAAGGCTACGCTTCGCAAGTCGCTGCCACCTCAATTATTAAACAACATTGGCTGCTTCCACTCACAAGCTGAGAAACATGAGCTTGCGAGCGACCTGTTCGAGGCCGCGCTGGGCGCTTGCATGAAGATTGGCGAGAAGGACCCTGAGATGGACACAGATGCCCTGGTATCCACAATCAGCTTCAACTTGGCTCGAAGCTATGAATCTAGAGGTCTCACTGATAAGGCTGTAGAGGTGTACGAAAGTCTCTTGGCCCGCCACGACGATTACACGGATGCTCGCGCCAGACTTGCTTATATCAAACTTAGGAAGAACCCGAACAAGGAAGGACCCGACGCCGTCGCCAAATTGTACCAGGAGAACAACACCGACTTGGAAGTTCGAGCCTTGTACGGCTGGTATTTGGGCCGAGTTGGCTCAAGGAAACGCCCGGCCAACCTTGGCGAGGATAATGAGTTCCGTCATTTCAAGCATACCCTCCAAAACTATGACAAACACGATAGACACGCTCTGGTGGGTATGGGTAACCTGTATCTCATGCAGGCACGAGAGATGCGTCGCGAGTCGGACTCGGAAAAACAAAAACGAAGTGCAACCTACGGTAAAGCCGTTGAGTTTTTTGACAAGGCTCTGTCACTTGATCCAAAGAACGCCTATGCTGCGCAGGGTGTGGCCATTGCTCTTGTTGAGGATAAGAAGGATTACAAGTCGGCACTGGGTATTTTCAACAAGGTCCGAGAAACTATCAGGGACTCTCACCTTTATGTTAACCTGGGACACATATATGCTGAGCTCAGACAATACTCAAAGGCTATTGAGCACTATGAGATTGCGCTTTCCAAAGATGGCAAGGCCAACGATGCAACAATCCTCGCTTGTTTGGGCCGAACATGGTTAAATCGTGGCCGCGCCGAACGTGATATAGATGCACACATCAAGGCACTTGAGTGCGCCCAGAAGGTCAGTGCCCCCCTCTCTCATACTTCGTTATACTTTGTATCTATGCTTACTCCCAATCAACAGGCTCTCGAGGTTGCCCCTGAACAGGTGCATTATAAGTTCAACGTGGCCTTTGTGCAAATCCAGCTTGTTACAATGGTCCAGGGATTACCAGAGAACAAGCGGTCGACAGAGCAGCTCGAAAAGGCCGCTGAGGGTCTCGAGGCTGCTATCACGTCCTTAGATGAGATCGCGGCGCATCCCCAAACCCCTTATCCTAAGCACGACGTCGAGCAGCGTGCGAATATGGCCCGTAACACCTTGCGCAAGCAGCTTGAACGAGCCATCGGCAAGCAGAAAGAGTGGGAGGAGAAGAATAAGGAGAAAATACAGGCGGCCAAAGAACTACGAGAAGCTGAGCTCCGTCGCCGTGAAGAAAGTCGTCAGAAGGCTTTGGAAGCAGAACGGGAGCGACAAGAAAAGATTAGGAAGGAACGTGAAGAGATTGCTGCGCAGGATAAAGCTTTGGCTGAAAAGCGCGCTGAAGAGGAACGGGCTCGCGCTGAGGCTGAAATGACGACTGATAGCGAGACGGGAGAGAAGATTAAACGAAAGCGGAAGACCGCTCCAAGAGCCACAGGAGAATTGAAGCCCAAGAGATCGGGAGGAAAGAAGAAGAAGAGTGACCGTCAAGACGACGAGTCTGAGGAAGAAGAAGAACGTACAAAGAAGCGCCGTCGTCTGACAAAGAAGGAATCATCCAAGTTCAAGTCGGCCGAGATTGTTGTTGACAGCGATGAAGAGAACGACAACGAAGACGATGAACTCGAGCGTGCCGAGAGAAATATCGACCGCGAAGAGACTCCTCTATCTGAGGCTGAGGAGAAGGCTGTCGAGGATGACAAGATGGAGGTTGACGACGGAGCCAACCAGGAAGGCGAAGACGATGACGAGGAAGAGATCGCTCCGCGTCAACAGCACAAGCGAGCCCGTCGTGGACGTGTCGTCGATAGTGATGAAGAGGACAACGAGGATGGAGATGCTCCAGCGCGAGCATCTGGTGATGAGTCTCGTCCTGTGGCAGATACCAGCATGGCGGATGCAGACGAAGACGAGTAACAGGAACAACAAGTTGATAATTAAGAATGTGACTTTGCTAATATACGCTGAAAAAGGACTCCCTCCGGTTGGGACTATTTGTATCATAAGTTAGGTGGTTTTTACATTGTGGCACGGGGACGAATGGAAAGCGTGTTTATCACAATTAGTCAGTAAAACTCTGGCGTACCCCGACAATCATGATACTTAAGATTAAGTGAATAAATTGTGGTATACGACTAACGTGAATTTACATGTCTTCGCGTGTCGTGATTCTTCATCTATTCCTATGATGTGCGCCTCCTTAGTGGGTCGTATCCTTAATTTCAGACCTTATGTATCCTTCTATCTCTTGCAAGCTCATTTTCTGTATATGCAGCTGAATTTTACATTGCTATTGGCGACCCCTGTATGGTTCCTTATTGCGAGGAGTATGGAATTGGCACAGGCTGTAAAGCTGGAGTAATTGGCATATTTAGAAGGCAAAAACCTGGTCAACGAGCTTGCTGACAGGACGGGCCTTCTTGAAGCCAAGGCTCTCTGTTGCCTTCTTGAGACCGCTAATCATGGGAGGAGGACCACAGAGAAGAATCTTGACATCGTCGGCGGGCTTGGGGAGATATTTCTAGAACATGGTTAATCGTTGAGAATAGCAAAGTCGAGCGCGCGAGAACTTACATCGATCATGTCGGCAGTGACGTAGCCAACGCCACCAGTCCAGCCCTCCTCAGGCTTGTCGAGGACGTAGTGAACACGGATACCAGAGTCCTGCTTAGCGAGGGCGTCGAGGTCCTCCTTGAGAAGAATATCCTGGGCAGTAACATTGGCAAAGATGAGGTCGACCTCGGTCTTGTCTCCGGCAGCTCGGCCGCGAACGATGGCGCGGATGACCTGGAGCATGGGAGTGATTCCAGTACCACCAGCAATCATACCAAAGTGTCGAACCATATTGGGAGTGTAGACGAAAGCGCCCTTGGGGCCACGGACCTTGATGGTCTGACCGACGGTGAGAGAGGCCATGTGCTTGGAGATGTTGCCCTGAGGATAGGACTTGATCAAGAGGTCGACGTGGCCGGGCTGGTGGTCACCAGAGATGGGAGTGTAGGAACGAACAATCTCCTTGGTAGTGCCATCGGGCTGGGGGCAAGGAGCGCCAATTGAGATATGCTGGCCGATGGGAAGACCGAGAATGTGCTTGGGGCTGGGGAGCTTGAAGCGGTAGCTATTGCGAGATTAGTATACTGAGCAGAACGTGGACGGGTCGGTGGGCATATCGGCGGCTTACATGGCGACATTGTGGGAGACGATGGTCTTCTCCTCGAGCTCGAACTCCTGAAAGACATCGGGCTTAAGAGTTGTCTTGACCTCTGCGATTCCAAGTTAGTCGACATTGACTTAGGCAAGGTTTCATCTGGCGGCAACTTACGGAAGGCCATGAAGTTGTAAATGCCGAATGCTACGGCAATAAGAGCAGCGAAAGGAGTCCATTCCTTCTTAACGATAAGAGTGCCAACGATGAGGAGCAGGCCAGGAGCGTAGACATAATCGATATAGTGTCTCGCGAAAAGCGAGTGATTGTCGCCAGGAGAGGACATGGTGGAGCTCTGGAGATCCCCGCCTTGGAAACCAATTGGGAGGTGAAGCTCTGTTATTTGTTGTTGTATTGCTCTCGGCCTGAGCAATTGACCCTCGCAAGAGAGCTCGTGTGAGGTTACACGGAAGTGTATATATACCCAATCCAGGCGCAAGAGGCGGGTTTTGCTTCTGCTTCTGCTTTTGCGGGGTGCAAAAGAAAGCTGAGGCGTTTGACGGTTTAAAGGATGAGGGTGAGGGGGAGCTCTCCTTTGAAAAATGGAAACCGAAGGCCGATTTCCGAAATCGCTGATGGCTACAGGAAGATTTTGCTTGTTTGGGCAGGCGGTCAGACGGCGGGGACGGTGAAGCGGTCGAAAATACCGATTGATCGTGAGAATATCGTTGAGTGTTGAGGGACCTGATTGGCTGGTACCCCAGACAATGACTGTCAATACCAATTGCAGAGAATCGCGGGACGAGAAATTTCTCGGAATTGAATTATTGTTAGCCGTTCAAGTTGAATGGATGGGGATGAGCTTCATATATTGTACAAGGTAAGTAATGCACCTTGTGTTTTATTACTCCTTGTTGTAGATCATATCCCCTACAATCGATTCAACTTATAAACGCCACGGCAAAGCTCACCCAGTACAAGCTAGCGTGGACCATACATCTTTGTCTCAGTGTCTGGGCAGTTTACTTACCTGCTGCGGTTTGGTTATGCCCCTCTACCTACCGAGATCTAGTAGTTAAAGGGGGGATATCTTCCTCGGACCTCAAGTGGCCGTTACAACTACCGTACCTCGGAATTCGTGTAAGTTGAGAGATTTATTCGGCATTGTTCCATTGTACTCTTAACCGGGCTTAACCAATTATCCCCTTGAAGTACAAGAACCACAGAGGGCTTCATGTCGCCCAGTTCCTAGTATCACCTAATACCTTACTGTAAGCCCATCGAATCAAAGCCTTGACTACGTGACTTCTTATGATGGAAATTCCATCATCACAAGATTGTCTGCTTCTCATTGACTTAGGCTTATCTTACCAGGTTGAGTCAAACAGAAACTGCAAGTTCTTGTTGCGGTCTCCAGCATGGCATGATGACTAGATACTATGGTTTGAGGAATAACTACTGTCAAAACTTTGACATATGACACATACCATTACTGAGTCAACTTGCGTTAAGAGGGATATGAAGGCGCAGAGCAAGCTCTCATCGGAACCTTCGCAATTCACAACGTCGTGTCTTGAACCAAGGTAAGGGACATTGTCGCATATATAGCCTACAAACATGAAAGCACATACAGGAAAGCATCAAGAGCTTTCAGCTTAGACCACCCTAACTCATCACCTTCAATGGAAAATTCACATCATTGAACAGATCTTCCTCGTCAGATACCATCTTACAGGATATGTATCCTTTGTTTGAAGATCTCCACTACCAGCCGTGGTTCGGACATACTTCGTTGTTTGGGAATGACAATAAGCCTTTTATCCGTGACTTTGCTGATGCGCATCTGTGTCTCAAGCCGATACTCGAGAGCTAATACAGATTGTCGTAAAATTTTACTATAAGTCCAATAGAAGTCCTGGATATCACTTTAGGCATGAAAGCCTTAGAAGTCGGAGCTCTTCCACACGATAGACAAAGTTAAAAAGGTAGGAATAACACGGTTGCAGAATACTAGTCGACTTAAGTTTTCAGGAACTTTCAAAGTCTCAGTAACACGATTCAGTAATAGGTAAAAGTTCCTGAAATCATTCAAATATTTATAAGCGGTCTATTTCAGGTCTCAACTCATCTTATCAAGGTCAGTATATACTAGACTCGGCAGCCTCATGGACATGCCTTTTCCCAAACGATACCTTATCCACGTGTCTCTAAGCTTTACAATTGAGCGGTCAGCAGGAGATGGCGGCTGGATTATCCACAAACAAGGGAACCATCATGAAATAGAGTATCACTGTTCAGGTAGATGACGGAGGACGGCAACTTTTATTAGTCTGGTCCCTGAATTTATGTAGCGCAGTAAATGCCCATCAAGCATGGATATTAGTGGGGGCGTTGCTTTTCTTAGAGCACCTGGGAGACGGCGTCGTTCGTGTCGAGCATCAAAACCCACATGACATGATCCATCAAGTGCTGCTGCAGACTGTAGTCTGCAGTGCAGGTCGTCAAGGGTCTCTCGACAAGGGGTCTCTGTGGATGGATGGATGACTACTAGTAGCTCCTGCAAGTGTAGATTCAATACGACCGTTGCAGTGCCGCCCAGGAGCTTCACGGACTTGCCGGCCATTGGCCTGAGCACAGGGTGACTTTCGCTGACAATCTTGCAGACATTGGCGGATAATCACGGTTTCACCACGAGATGCCACGCCGCTCAACACCATATTGAAGGGACTCGTCAACCGCCGATGGCGAGCTCTACTAATTGCTGCATTGGACGGTCAAGTACAATGCTTGGATCACTCAGATATCCAAGCTCTAGTCTCAGCCTCTCCTGTGCCATGACGCAAGTTCGTCAAAGATTATAAAGATGGAAGTTCGAGAACAGCCCATCGCCTGAGATCAAGACGATGGGAGTTCATCATACTGGAGCTTATCCTGAACGAGGACGCTGCATCGTCTAGCGGGTGGCTTGGATGCACGCCAATCGCAAGCTCCATGATGCCTCCCTATCAAGCCTTGTGAAATGCGACTGCGCGGGTTGCAAAAGCTCGTAAGTTGATGCGGCGTCCGGCAATACGGCAGATAAGGATTATACGGAACAGAAGTTTTGCTCTGCACGAGATCTTTTCAGAGTGCACGACAGTCGGGAGAAAAGAAGCATAGTCATAGGTGACACGAGATCAATGAATACGATGTTGACATGTCGAAGGATCAAGAGACTGGCCCGGAGCCGGGGCAATGGACGGACAGCAACTCCACCAACTTACGAGTACAAGCGCACAAGCCGCAATTCATGTGCTGAATCTCGTGGCTACAATAGCCTAGTAGTTGAAGCTGGGCTTGAAGGGAAATGGGGGGTTTTTTGATGGGAGAGAAGGGAGGGGCAACAGACTTCAAAGTCGACTATCGTGATATGATGATGGGGCTTATGTACAATCAACCATGGCAGCTGAAAGTCTGAAACGAGCAATTGATGAATCTGGCCGTGAACGGTGAGCGTCAATTGACATTGTCACTCACATTTGCATTGCTAGGGCAGGGCAGGGTACCCCGCGCATTTAATGATTGGCCTTGTCGTGAACAAACCCAACATCAAGAGCCGAAATAATGATGGGTTTCAGCATCATCATGGTCCATCATGACCACTCACCACCTCCCACCGCCCGTCATGGCACTTCTCATTCTTGGAAGAGCATCGGTGGGTCGACCACCAAACCTTTACACGTAGTGTCCGTAGAGTGAGATATGCATAAGAAGAGCGTCTTGGTTTGAGTGGCCGTTTCCTGTTTATCTGCAGTCAAGTCTCAAACCTTGGACCACGCCATCCATATCCACGTCTAGACACGCACGCCTTGATTCTTGTCGTCCTCGAAATGCCAGGCCCAGGGGGCCCTCACCCCTTGACATTTTCCTGCGGCCATATTCAGCCGAGGACCAGTAACCACAGGGTGACGAGCGTGCATCCTTCGGTTGGTTCATTCAATTGGCTTTGCCAATCGAGATCTAATCTACTACGCGTTAGTCCTTGTTTGTGCTGGGTGAAAGAGTCCGGTCTTGCAGGGATTTCCTCTTAGAGATGAGGGAGGCTTTTTAGTTCTTTTCCATTACCTACCTTAGGTGCCAGTCCGCGTCCGCCAGTTGGAGATTTGCTATCTATACTCAGTGGAGCTTTGGCTGTTTGACCCAACTGCAAGTCCGTATGCACAGACAGATCCATGGTGTCCATGGGTGGTCCTGCACTAAAAAAAACCCCGGCCGCAGCAGTCCTTATGACGACGACAATTGATGGGATCCATGGATGTGAGATCCAACCCGACCTCAGACCATCCATTTCCATCCATTAGTAGTTAATTGTATAGACTACTTACCTATTTTCTTTGCTCTTCCATTTTCCTTCCTTTCCTTTCGACTTTCGACTTTGGGCTCTTTTTTTACTTTTCCCCTTGAAATTAATCCTAGTCAACCCCTCCCCTTCATTTTTCTTTCCTTCCCCATCCCCTTCTATATCCATCGCTATTCCGGCCTCTACTAGCTCCTATCCTTGGCCTGTGGCCAAAGACATCCATACATTATCATCACTCCAGGCGCCTCTTTTGTCTTATTTATCAACCTCTCTTTTTCTTCGTCCCCAAAGGCTCGGCCTACGACTCTGCCTCTCGCTTCTCTTCCCCTTGTCGTCTCCGGGACCACCGGAATCAAAAGCTTATACTCACCTCTAATTGTTGGAGTCTCAAGCCTCCTGCTTGCTCTCGCCTCGACAACTTTCCTCCCGGTTTGCGTTGCGTCGCATTGCGTTGCTGGGCATCGCCTTTGCCCTCAAAATTCCGTGCTTGGTAGCCTAGCAGCATGCCTACGACTGTGATCTAGATCTCACACGTTTCTCTGCTCCCATTGAGCTAACTCGTCGTTTCGGCCTCACAACGACGTCATCTTGAATATTGGTCTCAGCAAAGCCGTTGATTTATTCCCTCGCCGCCGATTATCCGACCGAAACCTCAGCTCGTACCGTGATATCTCTCTCCACGTACGGTCCATTAGCCTCTACCTTCGCCTTTGCATCGTCTTCTTCTTCCAAGGAGTTCTGTTTTCGTGACTGTCTGCAGTATCTACAGTACATATCCATCAAATACATCTCCGCCCGAACTGGAACTAGTTGTAGATGGCGCTCAGCCTCTAAGCATATTCCTCAGCCATTCTCCAACAACGCTCTACCGCCATCAAACCCAAAATATTTGGATTCAACGACCGACTCGACACCAGCCGCATCCACATCCCGCCTTGACTCTGACTCTGACGACAACGCATGCGGGAGCTCCTTTCAGCTTGATTCGTTCAATATTTTGCGACATTGCATAGTAGCCGAACGAACTGAGACATCTTGACGTCGAGACGACCCTGTCACCCAGTCCACGGGCTCTCATCTCTATATCGTTTTCGGCCTCTCTTCAAGGAATCCTCATTTGTTTTCGAATTGAGAGTGTGGTGTCGTGTGCATCTCCCCTAGCGGCATGCTTGCCATCTATACATACTGAACCATTTCTCCATCTCTGCTGATTTGGGGAACTGCAATTATCGAGCCTTGAAATTCACCGAAAATCTTGGTATAATTTTATCCAAGAGCTTGTCAAGATGAACGCCGAAAAGTGGAAGAGGAGGACTCTTCCCACCCTCAAAACGCCCCCTGTACCAATTCCAACCGATGGTAATAAGGGATTCGATAATGTCGATGGAAAGAAGCCACGCGTCTTCTCGAAAGCCCTTCGTTCTCTCAGCAATTCCTCGATGGAATCCATGTCACAGAGCCCATCTCGAAGCTCTTCTTCTATTCGACGTCTACAGAAGACGCATTCTGGGTCAGGGTCTATGATCGACAGGATACATCGTCGAGTATCGATAGCTTCACCCATGAGCGCATCCGCCCCCGAATTCCCATCAGTTACTCCCGAAGTCCCCTATTCGTCGATGGAGCTTATTCAATACGGTCCACTGAAGACCGATGTCTCGCTTCTTAAGGCCCGCGCCGAATATCTGGTTCTTACAGATACCTGCCTGATCAAGTTCGGGAGTATGGAAGGAGCAAGAACTGCTTTCCTACAGATAAAATCAGGCAACGGGACACTCAAGCCTCACAGTGCTAATCATAATGCTCACAAGTCGTCGTCCGATGTCCGGATGGAAATACCCTTGCGATCCATCGTTGGCGTTTTCAACGAAGAAGGTTCAAGCCCTCGATTTGGTGTCGAAATATGGTGGTTCTCTCAGTGGCCAAAGCTAGCCTATTCCAAGGCGCATCTATTCTTCATGCTGCCTAAGGATCGGGATGACTGGTTGGCCAGTATTCAACAGGCTTGTAGAATGAGCCATAGGCGAGCTCCGTCTCCCTCTTTGATACCTGGCAATTTGAAAGCGAGAATCAACCACATTGTGGAAACCACGGAACCAGACTCGAATGCCAAAGCCTCTAAGATATTGACCTTCCCCGTGGTCAAACGTACGATAGGTACCCCTCAGAAGACCAATTCTGCCGATGAGTCTCAACACTTTGTGGATGGCTCGTCCTTCTACATCGTCATTGGACCAGCTATGTTGTATTTCCTCGAGGTTCTCAAGGCAGATTATGCAACTACTCCTGGTGACCTGCGTGTAAAGGTGCAGTCCTACGGTACAGTCTCACTAATTCGATTCCGAGCGTCCGTTGCGTCACACGAACAAAGGTTTGTGATGAGCTTCCGGTAAGTCTCACCGCACCGTACTTCACTACGCCATGTACTAACGCAGGGCTAGGTTACCACTGGGCCGTGAGAACAGACTTGAGCTTGCTAGTGTACATTACAGACATGTTATCGAAGCGATGACTAAAGTCGATCGAGAACTGAAACCCATGTGGCCACAGCATTTGCAAAAGGCAATATTCGATATCAAAGGCCTTCCTCCACCACTTCAGTTGACATCTGGAAATGATTTGGGAGGGCTCGAGCGAAGTTTGCACGCCTATTGCGCCGCTTTCAAGGTCCAGGTACCAAGATGGACCATCGAATGGAATACTCCCTCTCAACCAGCCTTTCGCCTTTTGCCTCCTGGTACACAACCATATTCTACGTTGCAATTACTGGCATTGTTTCGAGCCTTGCGTTATAACAGTTACTTCAAGGAGCTCTCTTTCCGCAATATTGATTTATCTGGTATCGCAGGAAAGAAGGATTATTCCCATTTCGGTGACACTATCGCCTACACATCATTAAACGGGGTCAAAATATCTGAAGAGCATTATGACATTTTGATGCAGTCTTCTGTTCTCAGTCAAGAGATGCATGCCCTGGCATTTTCATCAGAATCGATCCGAAGTATGGATTTGAGAAATATTCTGGGGCCACGAAGCACCATTGGTCGCTCTAAGGACCCTGAGGGCGCCCGGAGAGTCAGTTCTGAGGTTCTCCGACCTATACTGTTGTTGCTGAAACGTCAAGCATGTCTTTGCCACAGCATCACCATGTCTGGCAATCTCATTGCGCCAAGCGACGTTGAGGAGCTGGCAAACTTACTCGTACTGGATGAGGTGTACATGAAGAAACTCGATCTATCCAATTGTGGACTCGGCGACGAGGGTCTTACTACACTCTGGACCGGAATCCCAGGCCAGGGCGCCAATCTTCAACATATCGATACTTCCGAGAATCAAGGCACGGTAAAGTTCGAGACCATCCGGGACTCGCTTAGTCAACTACGAGCCATAAGAAAACTCAACATCGCTGGCAACACTCGACTCCCATTTGATGCTCCTTTGTTTGAGGATCATGTGCTGAGCTCATGGAGTCTGGAGGAGCTTGACTTATCCGGTATTGCTGTAAGTCGACATATATTTCATACATGGACTCGTGACTAACAGAAACCCGAATAGCTCAATAGCCCAACTGTGGATATTTTGACTGCATATATGGCGTCGCAGAATTCCGAAAACCTGAGAGTGCTTCGTCTGAGCAAATGTGGTCTAACGGGTGCTCAAATAGCCCAGATGTTTTATGCTATGGGTCAGGCTCGACAAATTACACTGTATATCAACGGCAACCGCTTAGACGAGGGCATCGATGATTTGTGTGCTGTCATTAGCGAATGTTTTGGCCCTTGGGGACTATTCGTGCAGATGGTAGAGTTTGCCTTGGAGGCTAACTACATCAAACTTTTGAAGGCATTGACAGTCAACCAAACCATTGAATGCCTGAGTCTTGCTGGTACCGCTACCCCTGACTCAGCCAGCGAAACGGCCTGCAGAGCGCTTTCGGATCTTTTCTCTCAAAACCATACGATCAGGTTCCTTGACCTTTCTGGATTTGATGCCAAGCTGGATGAAGGTCGTCTCGGGCGGGAATTCTCTAAGGCTCTGAGTGGACTAAAATTCAACACGCGGCTTGAGCACCTTCGCGTGCGAAGCCAAATGCTGAACGTGAACATTGGAGACCTGGCTGAAGCCATCTCTGCTAATAAAACCCTTCACAGTCTCGACTGTGAGTGCAACGATTTCAATCTTTCTAATTTTAGACATCTCGTCCGACATTTGAGTGACAGTACGACGATTCGCTATTTTTCGGCTTTCTCGGATCGCGATCTCGCTCAGACAATCCAAAGGTCAGTAGACAACGCCGTGGCAACGGCGACCTCAGCGCGCAGGCAATCTATGATCTCAAAACTGCGACACGAAAAGGTGCCCCAAAGTATTAGTGAGCCTCTGGCACAGCAATTGCGAGATGGTTGGGAAGACGCAGTACGAACCCAACAAGAGGTTCTAGAGAGGAACCAACTCTTATTTGAAGAAGGCGAAGATGGTCGCTACGACTCAGGCCAAGACGGATATCTGTTCTGCGATGGCGAGGAAGACTTTTCTAAAGCATTCGGCGGTTTGGCGCTACGGGCTTTCGAATCCAAGAGGGCTATGAATCGTCGCGCTTCCAACCCTTATTTGAACAATAAGAGAGCCAGTATGATCTCACTGGGCCCAGCTCGTCTGGTCAGCGCCGAACCAGGTGCCAGAGTGACAAGGTCTTGGTCAAGATCTTACTCAATTGTCTCAAGCGAGGGCGGTATCAGCGCTGCAGAGAGTCCAAGCACAGGGTCAGCGATCCCAACACCCCCTGAGCCAGAGAGCCCTGTAGAAAAGGAGTATCTGGTAGGGAATCAACAAGACGGGAATGAAGAGCCGCTCGATTACGAATACAGCTTTGCAGATCCGCATGATCCAGACTTTGGGCTTGAACTGCGAGCCCATCGACGATTCTGGAGCGATGAAGCTGGGTGTATCGAGGAAGAAGAACATGGAGTCCAGTTTGAGGAGCGGCACACGTGAGATGAGGATAACGAACTCTTAACGGATAATTGAGTGCAGAGAAGGTGGCATTGTGATCGACTCTATTCCGATCATGCCGGAGTTTTTTTTTTTTGTGATGTTTTCACTTGGGATAAGGGGGCAGGCGTTTATGAGTTTCTGGTATGATTGCTGGTTGGTGGTTTATGCAGGTTTTGCGTATAAGTTACTCTTGATACCCTTCGCTAGTTTCAGTTTTTAGATGAGTCGAGTTCAATATCAATCTTCAATTGTCTCAGTTTAAGCTACACTGATGCACTATGTAGGTGCCCGTTGTTGTGATGCAGCATATGTCAGTACCCAGGATAACACAATAAGCGTGATAAACCGGACTCAACCAAGACACCTTGGGGGAAAAGACCGCCAATCCCTGTCGCTTCCAGGAGAGTCTAAGCCACCCCAATTTGCTTAGGTTGGTTCATTCCCCTGTAAAAGCCCACAGATCCTTGGCAGGCCACTAGAAGCGCTCCAGCTGCAGCCTCCATTTGGGGACAACTCCACTAGAAACCTACAGCAACCTGCCCAGGCTCGAGACCACGACGCTCGTCATCACATACGAAGCCACTCACTCTCACTCCTCCATCATCACATTTCGTGGATGCCCTCCGTCCACTCCACAATTACCATCCAAGGGCCGTACAGTCCTTTAATATTGTATTTCGCATATTTTTCTTGCATTTGTTTTTAACTTTCACCACGTTCCACTGGAGCTTTCACGCTCCAGAGAGCTCCTCTCAATTTCTCACAACCACCAAATTTAGCGCCTCCTCGAGCCTCCCAAACGAGCTCTTGTTCGTGGTCTTGCGATCAGAAATCAACCCGCAATGTATTCCAACTCGAACGCCTTTCTAGGCGGTAATAGCCAGCGTCCTGGCGGCCAGCAGCAGCAATATGGCGGAGGATCGTTTGGTAATATGGGCGCTGGCCAGCAGCCTGGCCAACCCAGCCCCTTTGCGCCTCAACCTACAGGCTTTGGGCAAGCTCCTCTGCAGCAGCAGTATACGGGCTTTCCAATGCAGGGTCAGGGACTACAGCCGCAGCAGCCCCTTCAGCAACAGTTTACGGGATTTCCGGGACAGCAACAACAACCCCCCCAGCAGCAGCAGCAGCAGCAGAGCTTCCAGACTGGTGCTCCTGCGATGCCATCGATCCCGCCTCAGTTCCAGCAACAGTTCCAGCAGCACCAGCAGCACCAGCAGCCTACTAGCTTCTCTGCCTCGCCTCAGCAAGCTTCTGGGCCTTCAAACCCACCGCCGGCGCCGATGAAGCCCCAGGCCACCGGCTTCACCGAGATGGCCGCGTCCTTTCAGACTGGCGGTACTGCAAAGCCCCGTGGTCGAAGACAGGAGAAGTCGCAACCCAACAAAATCCCTAATATCCGACTCTCCTTCATCTCAGCTCAGGACCAGGCCAAGTTCGAAACCTTGTTCAAATCTGCTGTGGGAGAGGCTGGCATGACCATGTCAGGAGAGAAGGCTCGAGATCTGCTTATGAGATCAAGACTTGATGGCGACTCTCTATCGCACATCTGGTAAGAAGAAATTTTCCCGGGGCATGTTACTCGTGTTTTGTGCCCTTGGTGCTAACAAGTTTCAGGACTCTTGCTGATACCACTCGTGCTGGCCAGCTCTACTTCCCCGAATTCGCACTCGCCATGTACCTGTGCAACTTGAAACTTACTGGCAAGCAGCTGCCACCTAACCTGCCCGAGAACATTAAGAACGAGGTTTCGAGCATGGTGGATATCATTAGTTTCAGCGTCGCTGACGAGAGCGCTCCCGCGGTCGGCTCTTCATCTGCTCCTGATATTAGAACCAACACCGCCACCCCACCGACCATTCAGCAACCGCAACCTCAGCCCCAAGCTTCGAATGCACAGCTGCTTCAAGCGCAGATGACTGGGTTCCCGGGACAGCAGACAGGTTTCGGCCAGCAACAGGGTCTGCAAACCCAGCAAACTGGGTTCCCTGGCATGCAGAACAACCCCCAAGCTACCGGTTATAACGGTCCCCGTCCTCCAATGCCCCCTATGCCCACGGGATTCGGCCAGTCGCTTGCTCCTGGGCCCCCAGGTGGTATGGCTGCCCCTCTGAATGCTCAGCCTACAGGACGACCTGGTCAATGGGGTCTTGTTAATGCTCCTTCTACCGGCCTGCCCAACATCGATGCCCTTCAAGCCCAGATGATGCCTCAACAGGGCCGGGAAGCTGGAAACTTCACCACTCAGGGCCTTCGAGGAAACGCTGTTATCCCCTGGGCCATTACAAAGGAAGAAAAGACGCGATACGATTCTCTTTTCAAGGCTTGGGATGGCCTTGGCAAGGGATACATCGGTGGTGACCAAGCTATCGAGATCTTTGGTCAGAGTGGACTTGAGAAGCCCGATCTCGAGCGAGTCTGGACTCTGGCTGATCACGGTAATAAGGGACGACTGGATCTTGACGAATTCGCTGTTGCCATGCATTTGATCTACAGAAAGCTTAATGGTTATCCATTGCCTAACAATCTTCCTCCTGAGCTTGTTCCTCCTTCGACCCGAAACTTTAGCCAGTCCATCGGTACCCTTAAGTCAATGCTTCACGATGAGTCTGAATTCCGCACCAAGTCAGGTGCCGCTCTGCTCCCGCAGAAGACTGGCGTTAGCTATATGAAGAACCGCTCGTTCAGGGGCGCACCCGCTGGAGCCGTCGCTGGTCGGAAGGATGCTACAGTCTTTAAGAACGATGATGAGCAGTTTGGATATAGATCGAGCGCTCGTCGTAGGGTTGGCAACAACTCTCCTCGTCCCGAATCTCCCGCTTCTGTTGCTTCGAGCGACGACCTGACCTTAGACCAGCTCAAGAAAAAGATTAAGGAGAAGGAGGTTCTCTTAGATGCTATGGATTTCGCAGATGAGAAGAACCATGAAGAAGACGACATCCTCGACCGCCGTGACCGACGCGAGGCGGAGGAACTCTACCGTCGCATTCGTCGAATCCAAGAGGATATCGACTCTCATCCCGATGCAGCCCTCACAAGCGGAGACTCCGACGCTGAGCGAAGAGCTCTCAAGCGCCAACTTCAAAGTCTTACTGACAAGGTTCCCGAACTTGCTTCGCAGGTGCGCAGAACCGAGAAAGCCATTATGGATGCTCGATTGGAACTGTTCCGTATCAAAGATGCCAAGGCTCACCCTGGCAGTGGTGCTCCTATTGTAGGAACTGGACCTGGTGGTACAGTAACCGAGTCGGATCGACTCAAGGCTAGGGCCAAGGCCATGATGCAGCAGCGAACTGCTGCATTGACTGGCAAGAAGGTTGATGTCGGCACTGAGGATCTCGATGCGCCTAAGCGTCTTGAGGAGGAGAGCATCAAGGTCAAGAATGAAAAAGAGAGTAACGAACGCATGGTCCGTGATGTTGAGGAGAGTGTTCGCGACTTTGCGCATGGTATCGAGGACAGTCTCAAAGAGGGCGGCCGTGATAACACCAGTGAGCACGAAAAGCGCCGCTGGGAGGACGCACTCGGTGTCGAGGACGAGGTTCGCGACTTCATCTTTGACCTTCAGCGTGAAAGCCGTAGCGCTCGACTTCGTGCTCAAGACAAGCGACCCGCCCGGGCTCCAGCACGCACTGAGGAAACTCGGCCGGAACGTGTCGCTAGTCCTAGAGTTGAGAGCCCTGTCTCGACCTCTCGCACTGCAACCCCTCCTGCTGGAGGGTCATATTCCTCCTACAAGACCCCTGAGGAGCGAGCTGCTTTTATCAAACAACAAGCTGAACAGCGAATGGCTGAGAGGTTGGCTGCCCTCGGTATCAAGGCCCCGACAAAGTCCGGTGAGACAGCTGCCCAGCGCATGGAGCGTGAACGCGCTGAGCGAGCTGCGAAGTTACGACAGGCCGAGGAAGAGGATGCTCGTAGGGAAGCCGATCGCCAGGCTCGTCTGGCTGAAGAGCAAGGGATTCCACCTCCTGCACCCGAGCAGTCCAAGGCGGAGGCTAAGAGGCCTCCACCTCCCCCAACGCGGCACCGTGGTAAGCCAGAGGCTGATCAAGAGGCTGCAAAGAAGGTCGAGGAGGATGCTGCCGCTAAGCGGGCCGAAGAAGAACGACTTGCCCGCGAGCACGAGCAGCAGCAGCGCGAGACGCAGCAGATGGAGTAAGTGCTGAATCAGAAGATATGCGTAATCATATGCTAACCCCGTTTCTAGAGAAGATGTAAAGGAACAGGAGGACGATCTCGCCAAGGAGCGTGAGGCTTCTGAAGCTCGTCTGAAAGCCCTTGAAGAACAAGTGAGACAGGGCAAACTCCGCAAGGAGGAAGAGAAGAAGCGGAAGAAGGCAGCCATGGCTGAGGCCAAGGAGAAGGAGGCCAAACTTGCGGCACGGCGGGCTGAGATTGAGGCTGCTCGTCAGCGAGAGCTAGAACTTCAACGGCAGCTTGAAGCTATGGAAGATGGTGATAGCTCGTCGTCGGATGAAGACGAAGGTCCTCAGCAAATCACTCCTCAGGCTTCTACGCCCACTAGGAGCGACAGTCAAGTGGCCAGCCAAGAGCTTGACAAGAAGCCCTCGCCGCCCCCTGCTGCTGAGGCAGTTTCGTCTCCTCCCCCCCCTCCAGCGGTTGTCACATCGCCACCCAGTGAGACCGAGAGTAAGAACCCATTCTTCAGGATGATGTCTCAGTCGACCGAGGGTACACCCGCTGCTGCTCCTCCGGCACCACCTGCTGCGCCGGCACCTTCGGCTACGAACCCTTTCCATAGGATGACCCAGAACCAGGAAGCCAAACCTCCTTCTGGTCCTGTCTCGCGTCGCCGTGCAGACACTGATGACTGGGGTTCTGATAATGATGACAAGGACGATGACTCAGACGATGAGCGACCTGGTGGTGGTAGCGCAGCTCAGCTGGCCTCTATGCTGTTTGGCACAATGGCACCTCCTCGTCCTCTCTCTGCAGCCGGTAGGGAATCAGCAACTGCTAGTCCTGTGGCCGCCAGCGCTGTGACTCCTGTCGCACCTCCTCCACCTCCCCCGATGCCGAACACTGACTCTCCGGCTCCGATGACTCCTCCACCCCCTCCTCCTCCTATGCCGGGGAATGACGCGCCAAGTGCTCCTCCGCCTCCGCCTCCCATGCCCGGAAGTGACGCCCCTTCGGCACCACCGCCCCCACCACCGATGCCATCAGCCGGCGCACCTCCTCCACCTCCTCCCCCTATGGGTGGCGCTCCTCCGCCTCCTCCACCGCCCGGCGATGCGCCTGCCCCTCCTTCCGGTGGCGGTCGTCCAGCGGGCTTCTTGAGCGAGATCCAGATGGGCAGGGCCCTCAAGAAGACAACCACCAAAGACAGCAGTGCAGCGGCGGTGGCGGGACGAGTTTTGGATTAATGCTTTTGTGTGTATAGCTTGGAGAAGGAAGTAGACTATTGCTGATTATGAGGTGGGACCCGAGACAGTTGTGCCGTTAAGTAAGGGGAGAAGGGATGGCTATTTGTGTTGATGCGCGTAGAGCTAGCTAGTTGATAATGTGAGTCTGGAAAAAACGATCTCATCGTGACTCTGGGTTTTCTTTTTCTCAACGCATCTTGTGAAGATTTGTTTTGCGACTACAGATTTACTGTTTACTGTGCGGTGCTGTGTAATGAGATATGCTATGTAGAGAAACGTCGCAAACATGCTGTGAAGCCAAGGTCGAAGCACGATGCCGCTTCACGATACTGATAGTGGTCATCAGGGACAAGGCCTCGTGCTCCGGCTTGCCATTGTGCTACGTTGGCGTCAAAAAAGGTCTCAGTCAGGTCTCAAGCCCCTTTCATCAATTCACGATGACATTGTCTTGGAATTCGGATATAAGTCCGCACACACACGAAGTGGACATTGAGAAGGGAGTTTCAGTCTTGACAGACCTGTGAGGTTGCAATGGACATTACTCGTCTTGGCGAGAATTACTGGCTAAGTTGACAAGGCATGCTGTGAATGCGAGTGTGAGGTGCGGGAGGTAGCGCATGTGGACATGTCAATCTAAATGAAACAGGCAAAAAGTCGGGATTAGATGGTGCGAGGATGCACAGGGTCAGTCACGGCATGTCAGAGAGCCGAGAGTGTGTAATGTGCAGGCTATTCCATTCCTTACGAGTCGACATGCCTTGGAAGACGAGATATGTGAAGGCATAGAGAGATCATGAGCTGTGCGTCAGGGATAGTAGAGCATGGCATAGTGTATTTACGCTTTGTTGGTTCAAGAGCCACCAGAGATGGGGCCGAGATATGCTGGAAGCTTGGTCGAGGAGACTATCGAGTCTTCCGGAGGAGAGTCGAGTAACGTATTTGGTCGATGTGCCGAATACTATACTACACTATACTATACTATACTATACTATACTATACTATACTATACTATACTATACTACATACAGTACGGAGTATAGCCACGGAGCGTCCGATATACGCAGGGATGAATAACTTGCATCCAAGACTCCACGATAGTTTGGCAGGGTTTGGCTTTGCGAGCGGGTCTGGGAGGAAACCTCGGCGCTTGAAAACGAGAGAAAGAAAATGAAAGAAAAGAAAAAGCAACAAAGCAAACAAGATGGCAGTGAACTGAGCGTCTGATCGGATGAAAGCTCAGATCAGCTTCTGCTACCTAACTTACATGGTAGGTCTGGCCTCATGAGACCAACAGGGCAGGCCAAATAGATAGATGCCTGTTTAGCTCGGGACTAGATGAGTTGTCAAAGTGTGAATCTCTCTAAGAAACTGGTTTTTGGAAAATTAGCATTTCTCAGGCGACGGCAGTTGGACGTTTTCTGCTATCCAAGCCCTTTAAACCCTTGCCTGTACGAGGTGACTAGCATCCATTCTTGCTCTCCCTTCCCTTATCTTCATTTCATTTCAACTCATCCCGTCCCAATATGAGAACCCTTCAAAGCCCTTGAGAACCATTTGCGGAGAAAAAAGGGCCTGGGCCTTGTCAAGAACTTACTAGGATGTTTGCTCTTGAGCGAATGGCTTCGTGGAGCGTGTTCGATGTGGATATCAGTTTAATTGAGGATGGGGCACGAAACGAGACTGATCAGTTTCTTTTTAAAGAATCCATCGTTTGACAGCGGTCATGATGTCACTGCGTCCTAAGTGTCAGTGTGAATAAGTACGGACATTCATTCATTCAGGAGATCAGATCAGCTTGGTAAAGTTGTAAGTGCCCGATTGAAGGGAGGAATTTGGCAGACAAAAAAGCGGTCAAAATTATCACATCAGTTAATTGATTGTCATCACAACACCTCAGGCTCAGCTGAGGTCAGGTCAGGCCAGGTCGCATTTTGGGTTACATATTCATTCCTGTAAAGACCTACCAGACAAGAGAGGTTGGAGTCGTAGTAGAGTTCCATTTGTTGGGTGTTTACCTAAAGAGGCAATGTGTAAATAATGCAAGAGACAAGACGCGTGATAGAGGGGGGAAGAGACGCGTCATACCTAAAGCTTGAATAATTGAGTTTTGGTGGTGTTAGTGGTGGTGGGAAAAAAAAGAGGAGGGGAAGCAGATCCAACTTGTGGCTTTTTGCACAGCACAGCCCATCTATTGATTAACTCATCATGATGACGCCTCATTTACATACCCCGCTATAACACGGGACGTCCAAGATTCGTCTTGGTCTTTTCTCCTCCCTTCCTTGAGCCGAATGCGGCTGTGGTTGCGGGTCGCGTTGCGCTATTTCGACCGAGTCTGCAAGTAAGAAAACCCATTGACAGCTGAAACTATTGACGATGGGGGCAAGGATCAGCTAGCCGATACTTTATGTACTAAACTAAGAACATGTTAGTCAGTGAACCCACCGTAATAAATCTTGGTTCAAAGGTTGAGGCTGTTTATCAGCGTTTAAGCCATGAGGCATTAGGCACGAGGCACGTTATTCAATGGCCATGGGTTTCTTCAACAGTGGTCATGCGTGTCTTGGACTTCTGTTGCAGAAGTAATTTGATCTGCAATGCCCATCCATCGAAACTGGTCAAAGTTAAAGTTGCCCATGAGAGCTACAATGGGGTTTACAACGCCCTGCAGAACCGTTGGCGTAACGGAATGTTTACGGTTCTCGTGTTTTGAAGCCTCTGTTTACTCTGGGTCTTTAATTGATGCGAGATAGTTCGCTACCACTCTTCAATCGACACACTGCAGAGGATCTCGAGGCATAAACCACAAAGATATCAGTACTCTACGTTAATAAAGGGCTCGTCCCTATGCCAGAAGTTCCAGAACCCGGATAGCATGGCAGTGATGAACATCAAGTGGCTTGCTCACAGGCTTAGCTCAATGCGAACTCTAATAAACTACGGAGGAAGATCAGAGACGGCACGAGGAAAACCGTGATTCTTCACATGCAAGGGTGATCCTGTTAAAGTCTCTTTGTTGAGCCCCATTATCAGCGCCAATGTCACTATCAGCCATCAGCCACCCAAGGATATCCATGGATCCATTATAATCCAAGACCAAGAACGACACCATGAACAATGAATGACGATGAAGAAGTACTGCAGGTTTGTAGGTTATAGATTGTAGAGGGAGAAATTGAAATGCGGGGGGGTCTCGCGTATTCCTTCTCGTCGCTTGTTTCGCCTTTGCTGATGGTGGGTGTGGACAAGCATATGTAATAACTCTTCCAGGCACCAAAAGGTACAGTATTGCAATTATGAGACTGTAGGAGACTCTTTAGATGCAATCTTTACTGACAGACCCTTAGGTTTGGCAGTATTTGATTGGTTCTCGGCGACTACAATCCAAACAAAGATTACCCTTCAAGACGCGTCTTGGTCGGCCAAAAGCGCGCCCAAACTTGTTATCTCATGATCACCAGCTCAACTTGGTCGACCTGGACGGACGAGGAGGCAATTCACACATACCTAGCTTCAGTCCACCCACACCATTTTCAATTCTTTTTAGAAAAGAACAAAGACGGCGCGCACTGACCCTGGCTTCGACTCTCTTTCAGTTTGTCTTATCCCTACCCATTCTTGTTTGGCGGCCGTTTTATGTACACCAAAGAACTGAAAGCTACCTTAGTATACCTACATACCTATTCAACGGTTTGCCCGTGACTGGACTTTTGACTTGACTCGGCTGTGCTTGACAGTCTTGACTTTGCCAAGTGGTGCATTCCACCCTGTTACGCTTCCTCGACAAGGACAAGGCCAGTCATCATCTAAAGAGCCCTGCTCGGAACCACGGGCTCGAGAGGGGGTGTTAAACTCCGTGATCTTTACCCCATTACATCCATCAATCAATCATCTTGGGGGAAAAACACATACATACCATGTACATAGTAAGAGGAGGAGGAGAGGAAGAAGAAATATGCCCATAAAATTTGAACAAAGACAACAGGAAGACATTGATGAGCAAAGAGGCGTAGTCAATTCAATAGCTCTCTAACGTTAGACCTTTTTTTCTACCAACCGTGGCTGGCTGGCTGTTCTCGTTGCGGCATAGTATGGCGTGGCATGGCGTCTCGTCTATCTGATGAGCTTTTCCTCTTTCTTTTACCATGGCTATCAACTTGCTGTCAATGTATATATGTAAATTTCAATCAAATATTTCAAGAAGAAAAAAACGGATAAAAAGAAAGATAGTCGTGAATCGCCATGCGGAACAGGTCCTACACTGTAGGAAATGTAGTATCAGGTGGCTACCTTTAAGCTGTATCACCAAAAGTCCCTCGATTCTCGTGCCCGTTTCTGTTCCATCCCCATATTCATCTGACAAGACAGACAGACTTTCAGTCCAAGTTGGGGTAGGATCGGCACCAAACACAATCCCAGCATCTGATCCGGAAGCATCCCACAGCACCACCACCAACAACAACACAACACAGCACGGCACGGCACATCAGTCAGAGCACGACATATTCGCTTCGCATTCAAATCTGAAAATCTTGGATGCACCACTTTTCTGATACGGCAGAAACGGAACGGAAGCACTGCACGTTAGGCCGTGAATACGGAGCACGTATAGAGACTCCGATACCAAGATCGAGATCTGCTGGGTGCCATCTCCACTGCCTTACACACATGCATACCTACCTGGCACCAAGTTTCGTACGGAATAGAGCAGCCGGTTATCGTTTTTATGTGGTGCCAGGCTCAAACACCAAGGCCTTGAATAGCATGATCAACAGCCTGGTTAAACAATGTGGCCGCATGAGTCTGAGTAGATATCTTCATTTCAGTGTCGTCCAATCCGTACTCATGGCCTACTGCGCGACCTCGTCTCGCCTCGAGACGAGTGAATGTCTTATCATGAATCTGACTTGTGCATTTAGGTAGTTGACTCGGCTCGAGAGGCAGAGAAGAAAGGAGGTTTCTGTTTCTTTGTGTCTTTTGTCGACAACCAACATCCAGTA